ACACTCACGGAGTGTCTCTGTAAGTTTGTATCCCTGGTGGACAGCACTATATAAGTGGTGCTCTTCAGGCACAATCATCCTCAGCCTACTCAAGCTCAACTGATGAGGGGTGAATTCCCCGAAACACTGTGTATTGAGCAGGGAGTGGTGCTTTCTTGCAGGTTTGCCGAGTCGAAGGTTCGATGGACTTCTCGTGTTCTGTGGATGGCAGTCGTGAGTCAGTCAAGTGTCAAGTCGTCGACTTAGTACTGTCAATATATTATTATTACACAATGTCTCTGACATTGAGCACTCTCTGCAGCTCGGGGATCAACAGATTATGCAATGTCATGTACAAGTTCATGTACAGTCAACTTCGCTTATAACGACATTCGGCGGGGCATCAAAAAAGTGTCCTCATTCGCGAAGTGTCGTTATACCCGAAGTATCATTATGTCACTGTGTATTACAGTTGGAAGGAACTTTGATCTGGGCATGGAAATTCTGTCGTTATTCGCGAATTGTCGTTATATCCGCAGTCGTTATTAGCCAAGTTGACTGTACCGCATTACCGGTCTAGTTATGTACTGTAGCGGACATGGACATCCAGTCGACTGACCGGGGCAGGCGCCCTCAGCGCGTACAGAACATAATTCGTTGCATGTAGTGGCACATATTGATCCGATGCGACCAGCAGCAGCAGCAGCAGCAGCGCAATACAATGCTACGGCTGCATGGCCAGCGCCCTGGGGCCGCTAGACGTGCGACCGGATTTCCATGCCCACGATAGACAGTAGGTACTACAATTGTAGGTTCTCACAGCGACACGTTGCCGTTGGACACAAACACAGTACAATCATTTATCTAAACAGTAAACTATGGTACACCTCAACTCAAACTCAGCTCTGTCGAGCGTCGTTCACACTCGCTCACTCGAACTCAGCTCTGTCGAGCGTCGTTCACACTCGCTCACTCCAACTCAACTCTGTGGCTGTGCCGTTCACACTTGCTCACTCAAACTCAACTCTGTGGCTGTGCCGTTCACACTCGCTCACTCAAACTCAACTCTGCGGCTGTGCCGTTCACACTCGCTCACTCGACTACTGTAGCTCAGTACAGCTCTGTAGACTACAAAGTGTACAATCATGTAGTTCACACTTTAGTCACATTTCAGATCGTACCCTGGACCTGCAGATAGGAGTAAACTTTCAAAATAATTAGAGCAATTTATAGTTCACATGGTTTTTGTGTTTGAGTCCGTCTCTCTTGTTGTGTGGAGGTGACCTTCTATGTGACATGGTCTGCAATGTCCGCTACAAGTGGTGTTACATTAGTCGTGGATTCCAGCAGTTACCTAACAAAACCGTGATTATCTCAATACCGGTGTTATTTAGTAGTGGCGATGGTAACGCGAATGTGCGAACTTTCCTAACCAGTTACCTAGAACAGTTTCAAACATTACTGTCAAGTGTCATTTGAGAGTAGAACAGGTGGAGCAGGAGAGACACTTTGTGTGCAGCGTAGTACTGTTTTTGAGGGTCGGTGGCCTAACCGGAACGCAACTGTCGATAACACCGTTGGTGGACGCTTCGTCACACGTTCCGTCAAGTCAACATTCTGCAAGGGAATGGACAATTCGTCGGCAGTTCCGCAAAGTCGCCGTTCTGCTGGCTATGCGACCGAGAGTGGACATGTCGTCACAAGCTCTGTAAAGTCGACATTCTGTTTGGCACGCGACAGGGCACAGCACTTTACCAGATCGGTGCAGGTGGTATATTTCGGTAAGTACCAGTACAAACTATGATGGTTTTAAAATTGTTGTCTGTGCAAGACGGGCGGGCGTGCACCTGTGGTGTGTGTGTGTGTGTGTGTGTGTGTGTGTGTGTGTGTGTGTGTGTGTGTGTGTGTGTGTGTGTGTGGGTGGGTGTGTGGGTGGGTGGGTGCCAAGGTGTCGGAAGGCTACCTTCTTGCCAAAGCATTTGGAAGTCGGACTAGTTTCGGCTCCACAATCCAGTGTGTCGTTACTATAATAGCTTTCATGGCTGAGGTTGTTGGTATGTCTGTTGGCTCTGGGTTCCCAGTACCCAGTAGCCGAGGCTGGTTGGTAACGTAACTCCAATTTCACTTCAAGGTACCAGTGCATCTAGTGACTGCTTCTATCAAAGCAGCGTGCTGTCTATACTGGTTACCCCAGCAAGTGTAGGGTGTGCATAGGTACCTGTCTTGACCGTTTTATGTCGATGTACTCCGTGTCGTGTAGACCAGGTGTGCATTGGTGGTCGATTCACATGGCTTCGCCAGTTGTGTGGATAAGACAGTTATCTGGCGCAAGTCTTGATCTGTCTCATTCAGATCTTGTTCGCTATCGTTGCTATAAGAGAAAATCTGTGGGTGCACATCCAGTGCATTTGCAGATTTGCGTGCTTCTCTTGCGGGCGTATACATGGTACATGGTGTGTGTGTGTGTGTGTGTGTGTGTGTGTGTGTGTGTGTGTGTGTGTGTGTGTGTGTGTGTGTGTGTGATGTAACGCGGTGTTGTTCAAGATATGCAGTAGCATAGGCGGTCGCAGGTTCACTTTAACTTCAACGCAACCCTACCAATCAATTCTATAGGAAATGGAGCAGGTCAGAGAGAAAGAGAGAGAGAAAGAGAGAGAGAGAGAGAGAGAGAGAGAGAGAGAGAGAGAAAAAGAGAGAGAGAAAGAGGCAGAGAAAGAGAGAGAGAGAGAGAAAAGAGAGAGAAAGAGAAAAGAGAGAGAGAGAAAGAGAGAGGAAAAGAGAGCAGAAGCAACTAATGGTAGGGACCACACAAGGTGGCAGTTCCCGTCGTCTTGGGTTCACTGCCAGAACTGCGCACTGCAGAAAGAGACAGGCGGATTAGGGTTGCATGGGTAGCGTTGATCAGCAGAGGTTGTCTATGCCAATGTCGATATCATTTTTTTCCGATTTGAAAAGTACAACCTCGCACTGGTCTTCACTTCATCTAGACTATCTAGACTATCTAAAAGACACATACAAACAATAGGAGGACAGAGGAAGTGTTTTTACTCAGAGTTTCACGCACTAAGCGATCATCAGAAAACTGTTTTCTGATGATCGCTTAGTGCGTGAAACTCTGAGTAAAAACACTTCCTCTGTCCTCCTATTGTTTGAACCAGCTCTACCACTTGGTATTGAGCACTCTCTTGGACAGCCTGGAACCTCTCTGTTTTAAAAGACACATACACATATTACACAATATGCTGTCTGATGAAGTGTTTTGACACGAAACTCGGAGTAACAGCGGAAAGAGACTTGTTTGATTCATTGCTGTGTAATATTTATATTACTTGCTCTGTCCACAGGACATTGAGCACTGTAAGCAGCCTGAGGACTTTAGACAACTGTCTGAAAGACACATAGATGACCTTTTGTAATGGGTATTGAGCCATAAATAAATGTAGAAAAGAAAGGGACATATGTATACGAGTTAAGAGTAACTCTCCATCACTGTAACTGGATACTATTATACAGTCAGAAAGTGCAATAACTAAGCACAAAACTGACAGAGTACTGAGACATTCGACGTCCTGACACCTAGCTTCAACACATCTCCGTAGCGCGCCTTCTCCTCTTTTGTCTTTCCATAACCTCGAACCTTCCAAGTTGGAAGGCTGTCGGTTAGCGCTACGGAGATGTGTTGAAGCTAGGTGTCAGGACGTCGAATGTTTCAGTACTCTGTCAGTTTTGTGCCTAGTTGTTACACTTTCTGACGGTATAATATAGTATCTAGTTACAGTGGTGGAGAGTTACTCTTAACTCGTTTCCATCTGTCCTTTTCCTTTCTACTTTTTGTCATGGCTCCAACTTTATAAGAAAATCCGATGTATCACACAGCAACCTATCAAAACAGGCTGCATTCAAGCCCAAAGAATCGAACATAGATCATTATTATTATGTACACCTGACAATTGTAAATGATAAGATCAAACCATGATGTTCTTTAGTTTGACGGAGTACGGGAAAGGATGTTTCGCTGAAAGGTTCGTACAGTTTAAAAGCAGCAAATTTGTTTTTCGATCTTTGACCACTTTGCTGGTGAGCTGATCCACTCATCTCCCACCGCTTTAGGAGCTGCATCTGCACCTTAGGTCTTTTCAGGGTGTGGCGTTCCTGTGGATGCTGAAACTCAGTGTAACTGAGCTTTAAAAAACCCTGAATTGCTTTGTATACTGTAAATGTACAAATTTTCGGCAGCTATTTAATTTCGGCTATATTCGGCACCGACCCAAAACGCCTAAATTAAAACGCCGATGAAAATTTTCACAGCATCTGTCGGACTATACCATGCCCTCTACCATGTCTACCCCACGCCGAAAATATATCGCCGCCGAAATGTCAAAAATCGTGAAGTGCCGAAATTTTGCAGCGCCGAAATTTTGTATATTTACAGTAGTGCCTGAGAATAGAGTCAACTTTGCGTATAACGACACTCGGTGAGGCATCAGAATAGTGTCCTTATTCGCAAAGTATCCTTATACCCGAAGTCTCATGATATGTATACAGGTAGATGTGACTTTGTTCTGGGCATAGGAATACTGCCTTTTTCACAAATTGTCGTTATATCCGCAGTCGTTACTAGCAGACTGTATGCGCATATACATGGAATCTGATCAGTATGATCTCTACCCTAGTGCAAGCCCTGGTGCTATCCAGGGAGTCACTAAGAGAGCTCATTTGCTATTCCCTTATGCTAGCCCGGGTGCTATCCAGGGAGTCATACAAGCCCGTTTACTATTCACTTATGCTAGCCTGGGTGCTATCCAGGGAGTCGTGCAAACCCGTTCTCAATTCCCTTATGCTAGGCCGGGTGCTATCCAGGGAGTCGTACAAACCCGTTTGCACGGCTCAGGACCCATGATCCTTTCCGTTTTTCTGTGCAAGTACATGTATGCCGAAACGAGAGTTCAGAGTTGCCGCATTAATGAGAGTTCAGAGTTCCCGCAAAGCACCCCCCCCCCACACACACTCTCCTTGCTGTATTGATGAAGAAAAGCCTCAGCTCTGGCTGTAAAGCGCTGTAGCTACTGTACTGACTTGACATGCAAAGTCAATGTGAGTATGTTTATATAACCTGGTGTGAACTAGATGATTAAGACCATCCAATGTAGGGTAGTGGTCTGCCGTAACCAAGGTAACAATGACGAATGAAGAGAAACTGAATGTACGTTTATCGCTTAGTTCACAGCAACATAAACCTGTACTAGGGGTATGGTATGGAATATTTTATTTTACTTTGGCAAAAAAGACAAATACATTGTGAAGCGATGCTGATGTAGGGCGGTGCTGTGGTGTTGACTAGCTAGGCATAACAATGGTATCCTTACAAATTACACAGTGTTTTCTTACATAGTGACTATTTTAATATGGACAAGCCTTTGCACGTGTAATGGTGCGGGCTTTAGTGTAAAGGCAACGTTAATTTTAATAGAAATGTACAGTCATAATTTTACTACTCAAGAGGTTCAACATGATGACGTATGATAGTATAGAGTACCATGGAGAATGACATCATTGTCATGGACTCACTGCTTCTGAAATAATAAATAATGAGATCTTGTAGGATAAAGCGTGGAATTTATATAGTGTTTTTTTGTGGTCAAAACGTTCAACCAGCCACCTGCTCAGATGATCTTTCTATTATGATGATGGCAACAGGTGACAATCTGCTGCTCATGGCCAGTAGTTCATGGCCTGTAGTTCATGGCCTGTAGTTCATGGCCTGTAGTTCATGGCCTGTTGTTTAACGGTATGGTGGGTAATTGGTAACATGAACAGCTAATAGCACTAAGAAGGTAGACGTCGTTAAAAGTTTTATTTCTATCCTGCCGTCCCTTCTCCAGCCGTTGCTCCTGACATTCGTGGTCGTTCATGTCCACCCTAACCTTTGCGGAACCGCGCGGCTTGCAGGCGGAATAGTGGTAGTTCACGTAGGGATGTTTTTTCATGGTGACTGGTTTGGACATGCATGTACCGGTGCAGACACCGATCGAGACACGCTTACGACAGCCGCCTCGTCTCACCACGATATCGGTCATCTCTCTGCGACACGACTCGTGGTCCACAGGATAGTAACGTGGTGGTTTCAGGTGCTGTGGACGGGGTACGGATCGATAGCTCTCTCCTGTACCCTGCTGTAATTGCTCATCTGGTGTGGAATCGCCTCTTCCCGATAGTCGGGATCGTGTCCTCTCTTCTTCCCCGTCTGCTTCGCCGCTTGTTGGTTTGATGACGTCAGTTACTATACTGGATGGGGTAGTAGTCGTTATGATCGGGGTGGTAGTCGCTGTTGTTGCTTCTGCTGCTCCAGCGCTGTCAACTACAATGCCGCTACCTCGCGATGGCTTGATGGTTCTCTCAACAGTGTCCACGTCCTGTATTGCGGATATGTCTTCACTGCTTGACGGCACCAAGGCATCATGCAGTGTGGATATCTTGGGGATAGGCAGACCGATAACATTACTACGGATGATAGTCACAGTCGGCTGCAAGACTGCCAACATGTTTTTCTGACGACGATCAGCATTGGGATTTGAACGTACCATAACTATGCCACCATCGGCACCGCTGCTGCTGCGTTGGCCAGGTATTCCCGGGCCGTCAGGTCTTTGTATGGTATTGCCAGTAGGGCCGCTGCTACGCTCCGCTCGTCTGTGTTCAACTGATGACTCATCCAATCCCGTGTCCGCTGCATTCTGGTCGTCATGTGATGCGGTGCCTTGGAAACGGGTTGGCAGGGCTACACAGCACCATGGCAACACGATGGCTAACGGGAGTAGCAGTGACCAGGCGTGTTGAATCAGCAACATCTTTCCTACAGTAACGCGCACACAGTGGAATGAAAGAAACAAAATTGGTAAGTTTATTATTTAAAAATATTCAAGCACTCCAAGTAACTGTTCATATGGTAAGAGTAAAGACATTGATACAACAACTGACCAAATATATGACATTATCATAGATGGTGCAGTTAGTATTTTGAAAGCTAAACCATTGTGAACCAGTGTCCAGAAGTCGGACTGACTGCTGAACTTCCCCTTGGCAAGTACAGTATCAGGGAGATGAATTTCATATGTTCTTTTGCTAGTTAAATATGGTGTGCTGATTACGGCTTAAACAGTTACTCGAGAAAGGTCCTATCGCAACTCACTGTTCAGCGCTATTTCGACACTATCCCTTCAGGTATTCCTTTGTGTAATCTCTGCTCCTTGTTGAGTGTACCAACATTGACTCGTATATCTAGCTCTTTATCGACTGTGTCACAGTGACAACAACGTTGACTAATGCTTGATTGACAGGTCTGATAATCTCGCCTTAAAACTAGCCAAAAACACTGACGGCAAGACCTTATGAACTGAGACATCCATACCCTTTTATAGTGGCTGGCATCAGTTTGTCCCAGGACTATCCACAAAGTTCGACCATTTCAAAATCCAGGAAGGTGCGGAATATGTATATAATTATATTGTGCCAGCTGAGGGCTGCTTGGGGTGCAGAATCCCGCCGCTTAGCTCCCTCCAGTGCTGTTCACAAGTCCGATACTATCCTCTGCTCCCCAACAATCACGATTGTGGTCTATTTTCCTAGCATAGTCTCTAGCCGGCGGCGGGCCAAATGTCTAAGTATGGGCTACGTTTACCAAGCTGTGAGTCACGTGACTGAGTGTGAAGAGCCCGCATCCCGAAGTTTACCATGCTGAGAAGAGCCCGCATCCAAAAGTTAGTTCCCCAAGCTGCAAAGAGCGCACATTGCACCTTAGAATTAGGTGTGAATGCCTCGTGGCTCTACTACTACTACTACTACTACTACTACACGTAGTTCTACCTGCGAATCAGACAGACAGTGGTGGTACATGCAAGATATCGTTCAGAAAGCCAACTCTAATGCCAGGCTAATGCTACTCACGGCATACATATACATTGTAATACTAGTAGTTATTTTGTTGATTTGGGCTCTAGGCTCTACACCTAAATAATACATGTAGCACTACTAAAATAGGTGTCAGGATTTTCAGTGTCCTTCACCCGCTTTCCTGGCTGTGTCTCTCTCGCCCTCTTTGCTGTCTCGCTTATCCATTGTTTAGTATTAGGCCTTGAGGCAGACTGAATGAGCCACTGCCTCTGGGCCAGTCTGGGCCCCTGGCACAGTGAGTGCTATGCCGAGCATGAAAACCACAAGATATTACACGTATGTCCACACACTCAGATCTTAAACCATACACTCAGAGTCTGTATTTTCACTTCCAGAAGTAGTAGTATTACAACGTCTGCTAGAGAAGGGTCTATTTACAACTTCTGCTGAATACTTGGCATGAGTATAAGGCAGTGGGACAGGCCGTGTGAATGAGAGCTAAAGACTAAGGAGAGAGTTCATCACGCTCTTGTTCTACAAGTACACTGTACCTGCGATCTGCATACATATACATGGATGTAATGTAACGCCTATCTCAGCTGAGGTCGCATACATGTAGTTGTGCGACATGGTCATAATTATGAACAGTTGCAATTATTGTATTTGCTGGAGTATAAGCCGAGCCCGCATTTTTTTGCCACAAAATGCAGACACCTACCGGTACCCTATTTATCACCGTTTATTTGATTATCAGAGTACATGACTGTACATGTATACGCCGTTGCAACCCCTTTTTTGTGCGGCTTACACACCGGAAACACGGTACTGGTTGACCGTCTTTCACTCATTCTGAGTTCGACTGCAACTTGCACGAGACAGAAATTACAAATATTCACGGTCCGCCCCAGTCCGGCTAATTATTCGTTGAATTGCGCACTCATAGAGTCTTGGATATATGCGGATAACAATGGCGGCAAATTCAAAAAGGAGGCGGTACGTAGCTACGTTTCTATTACCACGTAGATGTAGATGTAAATAGTTTGCAGCGAACGCTTGAACTGCGGCGATGGAAGGGTTGCGCTAACAATAGCGGCTATTGCTTCTAATCAAGGAAATGTAATGGCAGTCCTTTGTGGCAGAGCCTAATCAATCCATGACAATCCCTCCTTGCGCCCCATACAGAGCGCTACTTGTGAAATACACGATGAGACGATAGTCCACTTGTGTCGTGGGTGCAATTAATTATTCACAACTTCAGCTCGGAACCTTCTGTCAGTCTGTGTGTCTTCTTTCCTCGGAAAGAGTCCGTGTCGCTAGCCTGAGCCAGCATTTTGATTTCGCAATCTACATACTTGGGAGCGTCATGGGAGTATTGGCCATCTGAACTGGCCAAGCAATGCATCTAGCACAATGACTCATCTCGACTTATCTCCATCTACACACCAGGTACATAAGGTGCATTGTAGATCATGTGTAAGTGAAAGTCGCAGACGCAACTGAACAGTGCTAGCCGTGTACAGTACAATTTACATGTCTGTCTGTAGTGCTAGCCGTGTACAGTACAGTGTACATGTCTGTCTGTAGTACAGTGCTAGCCGTGTACAGTACCATGTACAATGTCTGTCTGTAGTACAGTGTCAGACAGCAAGGCTACTAGTATTCTAGATAGCAGAGCACTAATCAATGTAATCAGCATGAGAATGCTGTAGCTGAGCGCTTGCTGTATTTCTTCCAGTTATAGAACACTCTGACTCGGTTGCTTTGAGCCGACTTCAAAAAATTCTTTGCTGTTCGCTTGACGTACGTCCTTGCGGTCGGTTCGGCCAGTCACTCCCAGCCCCACTGTGAGACATAATAATTAACATGATTCTTTGTTGCCATCTTCAATAATTAACATGGTCGAAGTAAATGATTGTATGTCGTTGTCCGGAGACTATTCAAGACATTCTACACATGGCAATAGTGACTATGGTGTATAACAGCTATGGTACGAGCTGGGCACTGCAGTGCGGCATCGGGTTATGTTGGTTAGATTTCCATACCAGCAACCCATGGCGAATGTCTTCCTGGGAAGCGTGAACCCATACCATGCATGTCAACACACGGAAATGCCTCCTCCGTTGGCCGCTATCAGCACACAATAACTTTAGCTTGCCAGGTAATAATCATTAAGTACCCATAGACTTGCGATTGAGATTACCTAAGCGCTTTTAGGCTATGCTGATTCTGGGCAGAGTCGAAAGCGGTCGCGAGGACGTGTTCGAGAATTATCAAGCCACAATAGTTATCACGATTCAGATAGCTACTGACAATCTTCATCGTTATCAGGTCTGATCATCAGGTCCGATCATCCGATACGCTTTAGATTAGTTACATTATGACATAGTGCGTATCATTAGGTAGCAGCTGCCCAGTGCTACTGATGATGCTGGTGATAACCTCTTCTATTTACATGTGGACTGAACGTACATGACGTGATGATGTATATGTACATGTACTTCCAATCGTAGCTGGGTACGAGTATATACTGACTTTACTATTCTCTAAGTCCCACAAACCAACCAAACCTCAGGCAGAACAAAACAAAGAGACATGTTCTCGATTACAATGTACAGTGCACACATGTACAAGTATTACGAAAACGATGAGTAAACAGAATTGGTGAATGTGGACATGAGAATTCCGACAAACGACCTATGGCGTGTGTGGCTCCCCTTTGATCGACAACGTGGCAATCTGTATCCGCGCATTCCGCCACTGTCTGTTGATTAAGTATTGTCATAACTACATGTACGACCATTACTAGGCAATGAACTTCGAGTTCAAATCAGTTGTGCCAGTGACGGTCTGTGGAGTAACAAACTCAGACATTTCCATCGGACATCGACACATCGTTCACATTGGTATTTTTAGTCTGGAGGACGGCTGAGGACGAGGTACGGATATAGAAACACAACTCTATATACAGCATCCAATTGATCACTTCTGATAACTTATAATCACTTCTGTGTATGTCGGCTCCGCGTATCTACCCGTACTACAAACACAATACTATGTGGCATGTCAATTCAGAATTGATTATCCGGAGTTCGAGGTGCAAGAGTTAGTGTAGCGGGGCGGACCTCCAGATTCAAAACAGCATTTTTCCCTGTCGCGGCTGTCTGCAGAGTGAGCGGCGCTTGGCGTTCAGTCTTGCCCCCAATACGCTTAAACGATTCTTTCACTGCATTGGTGTACACAGCGTGTGCAATCACGTGACCTTACTCAGCAGTCTAGCAGAGGTTTCAACAGGCCGGATGAGCTGGTGGCCAGAGTGGATATCGCTCTCACGCGGGGCCGCCACATGGTGGCAACCAATCTCTACGTTATCTTGAGATCATTCCTCTTGAAAATATGTCACGTGACTTGTACTATACACAAATTAGAGTGTACGTGACAACCCACTAGTATCAGTAACACCAAGAGTACATGATGTACATGTAGTCTTGGTAACAGATACATTGTACATTGTAACAGTACTATGAATTCCACCGCAGTGACGTGTGTAACAATGAATTCCAACAACTTGCAATTATGCGGTCAGTGCGAATCTGTCCAGGATTCACAGGGTGGCCGTCAATCAATAAGTTCTGCCGTTTCTAATGATACATTAACTTTGACTGTCTAGGCGCGCAGCGTTTGGACTTCTAGGAGTCCACTATTCACGACCGTAGGGGAAACACACACACTTCTTCCCTGGCTGAAGCAATCTATAGTGTCGCGATGTCAGTCCAATAAGTTTGTCTCGTTGTAATCCTCTCTCTTTCCTCCCTCTTTCCCCGATATTCCACCCCCCCCCCATGCGTATTGCGTTCAGACTAGCAACATCCTATTATCCTATCACGTGATAAAGTACCTGTATCAGTTTTGCTGAGACTAGTACTACTGGACGTGTCCTGTGTTTGACGGGAAAGTACAGGAGCAAAGGGACATGGGGGAGGAAAGCTAGAACTGCAGCAAAAATAGGTTGATAGAGAAAGAGAGAGAGAGAGAGAGAGAGAGAGAGGGGGGGGGGAGAATAGAGAGAAGGAGAGGAGATAGAGAAGCCCGAATGGGAGGTGGGTGAAGAACTGTACCCGAAAATTGCATACGTTTGCCATGGCCAAGAAAGTTATTCTCGTTTTCTATATCTGGTACCATTTGCTGATCACTAAATGTATCAAGCTGTTCGGAACAGCTGTTTAACTGCTCGGAACAGCTGTTTCTTACTGTCGTTACAACCGCAGGGCATAGGTACTTTTCCAATCCACAAGCCAGATTTAGAGTTCACCATGCCACGTATTCGCTTTGTTCATCTTCCTCACACAACTGTTGTCAGTAAACGATTAGTACTGACGTCATCAAGCCACCACAGTGGTAATACAGGCTGAAGTCAATGTGTAAAGTATTCTCCATGTGTAAAGTATTGCCCACGGCGACGTGCACAGCACTTGTACTTTCATAAATGTCTTCCTCACCCATATATAGACAGCATAGGTTGGTATGATTGTCTGATGTTCTATCTGACCAGTATTCTCTGTTTCTCGTTGCTTGTGAGTATGATGTGAGCGACTAGGAATAAAGGATGCTGTGTCCACTGACTGTACAGCTTTGTGTTGCTTTTAAACACTTTGGAATGGTATTGACCACCGGTGCACCACTAAGGAACCTGTTGATCCCTTCAAGCCTGTTGATCGGAAGTTGATCCGTTCAGTTCGTGTCGTCTGCTATGGTATGGCTTCTAAGTCATCAGGCAATTGTCCCATGCCAACCTAGCATCCCTTAGGCCTGGTACACTAAAGAAACATTTCTGTGTCCTATGATAAGGTGATCTGCACATAACCTGACATCAAGCAAATCGTGAAGAGTACAGTATTGTCGTAATCGCCCCACCTACTCACCACTACATGCACATGTACAATCGTCATCTCTGTTTCTTGCAGCATTGTTGCTGATAGAGTTGTACTGGTTTCCCTACTGGTTACGCTATAATATCCACTAAAACCACCAGTTACTAAACAAATCAGCTCATGCCATCCTTTTTTCTTTTCTATAGAGTTATCCTTGGCTCTTCATCCGAGTCCATTCTTGACAACCGGATGCCATATAATTTTGGGGTTTTGGAGGGGGGGGGGAGGCGGGTGCACAATACCAACGTGGGAACAGAAGTAGGTTTGCAGAGATTACGGAGAATACCGTAAGAGATGACAAGAGTAATACTTCACTCACCTATAGGCTATAGCAAACGATAGTTGACCCTGGCTGAATGCACCCTGCTTCGTCCAAGTCTTCTTCAGCGTCCTGTTCGATGTTAGCTCCCTGTGCGAGTGGCAACATTCTGGAGCTCGGACACATGGATTGCCCGTATATCAAGGACTTGCCCGTCCTCCTTACTCCCCGCTGATCGCCTTGCCTAGCTACACCCAGCTTACATAATTGCATGTCGCCAGCAGTATCACCTTTGCAACGGTCTACCTACGTACCTCTGCTGCTCATGAAGCGGGCCTTGTCTACCTACCTTCCACTCATAAACTGCACGTAACGTTGTGGCGAGACGGAATGAGCCAGGTTAGCAAACAGGAGTGCTGCCCAGTCATTCTGACATTCACGATCGCACACACGCACCTGATTGAAACGGTATGTGCGCTATTCTGCTTGGGATGAAAAGTGTCAGTAGCGAGCACTGTGGCAGTATCGGGCTGTGTGGCAGTAGAAATGTCCCCTGCAGAGAGGAGCGAGGAACGAGCGTGCAGACACCTAGTGCGCAATATCCTAACACAGGACAAAACAGCGAGTTGTGAAGTGACAGCGATCCAACAGGAGCCACGAGCTACGACCGGAGCCCCAGCATTGGGGAGGTCCAATACACAACCGCATTTGGACAATCGGGCCAAAAACTGACACGATCTCCCGTGGAGTTAACGGTTCTGGCAGGCACTGGAATTGTAGTGGAAATGCCAGTTTGTTTGGACGCTGATCACAGGGGACAATGCTGAGTGTGATCATTGTGATAGGTTTGCTATGGCATGACCAGCAGCAGAGATCGGTTAGAATTGGGAAAAACGACTGTCATAATCCTGAGACCTGGGGTGCACGCCACGGTGAAGCCGATGCTAGCATGGTCATTCACTAGAATTGTCACTCTTTCCACGTTCCAGGCGCAGTGTTTTCATGCGACAGCAACAGCTTTTACTCATCACACGTGTATTTCGAATTCGTGACAGTACACACGATTTGCGGGCGATGAAACTACACTCCCTACTGTCTTTGCATTATGTATCGTAACAAGCAGAACGCGTGATCATGAAGCTCTTGCCTAAACCTCACGACCTTACGCTATGGTGTTCATGCATCACATGGATCGATATAAACACACACTTCAAGAAGACGACATTCGAAGGAGAAACATAAACAAAGGCGCTGCACTTTTTGGCACCAGTTACGGAATTCAAAACAATGTGAAGGCAGCCATGGTATGTAATGATACTAGAAACAATGTTTGTGGTTATGTCACGGATGGTCGACATGCACAACGCTTGTTATTGGTGATGCAATGAAGAAGAGAAGGTGTACTTAAAGTGTACGGGCATGGCGGAGTAACTCAAAAGCCTCTTCCACGGGCAAAATAAACAAGAATTCTTGTGATGAATGAAAATACTATCTGCATAGCTACGATGTGTAAGACAAACTCAGCTGAAGATCACGTCACAAGAATGTGGCAAACTCAACTGAAGATTATGCGCATGGCGGAGTAGACGTATATGTACATGCTAGCACATATACATGTATGCAGGATGATAGGATGGCCAAATATGCTGGTGTGTCGGAGAGGACAATGAGGCACACTGTATCTCGGCTGCAGAGCACTTCATGTGCGACCATAGCCTAGGGAGGATTGCGCTGACCACAGGTGGCTGGAAGCCTATGCATACATATACTGACATACGTTTTGGCAATAGCAGTGATGGGATGCATGGGCATTACCAACTCAATTATTTGAACAAAGGCAATATCGATGTTATAGATACTGAAGTAGTAGAATATGAGCTACGGCAGCACCTGTACAGGTACATGTATGGGCTTGTCTGCTAGAGATACTCGCACTCTTCTGCAACAGCAGCAACTGGGTGGTGGTTTTCGATAAGAAGAATTGTTCGCAGTTGTGCCAAGTAGCCTGTCGATCCGATAGTAGATACATGTACATTCTCTAACTTGCAAGACCTTCTGATCAGCATGGTCAGGGTGACATGGCCGGCACGATCAATTACACACCATTCCAGCAAAATCCTCTGAGACCTACGAGTGGTAGACCGAGAACATGGGATTCAGTGACCTGAGATCAATACAGTATTCACATCACGACCAGAACAGTAGAAGAAAAGAGTCGATCGTGAGCGCATGTGATGTTGTTGTTATTGTCTTTGTGTACTACACAATCATAGCCTCGGCGAGGCGAGCCAGTACCCCTGAGCATGATCCACGTCGCTGTAGGTCACCCAACAGACATAATCAGGATTCGGGGCCTGAAGACCACCTACCAAGCGACGCGGTGTCACCTCTCTTCACAGGGACACCTGCGACTGTAGAGATGCACGCACTCATCACCTCATCTGCATTGACCATTCAGATGGACTGCTGTCAGTAACCAACGTTTCATTTCTACACCTACTGTTGATTACTAGTATACTTCACTTTCGCATGTTCTGATTGGTGAGAATAATCTGCAATACGTGAATTACAGACATTGGAAACTTGGTATTCATATCATAATTTAAGGCACTCATATACTACTTGTATGAAAACTTGGCGATGCTGAGTCGGCGCGCGTGTGTGTGTCTGTGTGTGTGTGTGTGTTTGCGTGCCGACACATGTGCACACTGGAGGTGTGAAACAATATGTTACAACCATCTGTAATTCTGTACCATTACTGTAACCATGCTAGCTTCGTTCACAGTTTAGTCCGATGTGACGTAATGACCTGACGTAGATACTCGAGTGCGTTCTGACAAAGCTGAGATTCTAGTAATTGTCCGTAGTGACACCCACTTAAAAACTCACTGATAACGCAATGAGAAAATGTGTGTAAATCAAGCAGTTCTATTTGGGGTGCTGGATTTCACGTCTACATGTACTACACCGAACACAGCAGGCGGGACATCACAGCGGGTCGTCATTGTGGGCATGGCTGCTAGAACCACACGGACAATCGCTATAACCTTAGCCAATCATCATATTCGCTACTGGCTAGTGGTATCCACCATGTTAGCGATCATCTAGAAGAATCACTTTCGATAAATTATACAGAATAGCGACTCATAGTCACTCATTGCTAGTCGCTAGTGTCCCCCATGGTACTAAGGATCCACATGTAGAACAGTCGCTAAAGTCACTCGTCGCTACCCGCTAGTGGCTAGTGTCTTAGTGTCCAGCATGGTAGGGATTTGCAATAGTCGCTATAGGCACTCGTCGCTACTCCCTAGCTGCTAGTGTCTCGGTAGGGATTCGTATGACAGTGATTGAACTGAGCTGACACAATGTGTCCACCACAAGCGCACCATGGGAGACGAAAACGAATTGAACGTCTTCTTATCAGTTTATCTGCAAGTTTCACGGTTAAAGAATTCCATGGGTGAGTGAGGTCTGGAGTCCATGACCAAGCTCTCTGTTCCCTCTGTTTCTGCTGTACTGTGTTAGACAGTACATTGACGTATATCTCAGTTGGTGTCCACAGCACCCAACGCCTGCCTTCAGGATTCTCTCCTCGCCATATCATGTAGCCTGGTCAGCTGTGTTTTTATCCCAAACTTTAATAAGCATATCATGTACCCTGGTCAGCTGTGTTTTTTCCCCAAACTTTAATAAGCATATCATCGATAAGTCTTGATGTTGCCGTGCCTATACAGAATATCAGGCTCCCAGAGCTGGGGGGGGGGGGGGGGGGACTCTGCACGCTCTCCATACAATGTCAATATTTACAAAATGTATTCTCGGTATTATAGGTGTCTGCACCGACCTTGGCTTTGGGGAGGTATCAAGTGATCTTCAATCAATGTCACGCGGGTGCCGTCAAAACAAAAATCTTAGACAGTAAAAGCATGTTTGGTACCAGCACAAACTCCCCAGGCACTGACCGTCTCTACCGTCTATTTCATATCGGACAGTTTTGGATGGCCGTGATGTGACGGGTATGGTTGCGGGCATATAGGCAGATGGTATTGCTATCCGGCTGGTCTCGTGTGGCTTCGAACTGCTCGGAGCAGTCACGACTTTGCTTTGAGGATATGCTACCGAGTAGCATTTTGGTATGCATTAACCGTTAGTCAGCGAGTGGGTCATTGTGTTGAGTTCATTGTAGTCGTCTTCCACTCACAATAATAAACTGCAGCTAAACCATTGCGTGAATGAGCGCGAGTCGGAATCGTGTTGAAAAGTTGAAATTCTGATCGTGCCAGAACAGTGTGTGGTGGACGGCCTGTCATGACGCTTGTCAGAAGACGATCCTCTAACTCTAGGACCAGAAAGAGAACGAGAACCAGACAGTGAGAGCGAGATTTGTCCTAGGTTACTTGAGTAGTTGTTAGTGTAATGCATGAGAGCCAGATCGAGGGTCGAGTTCTGCAGTTTTCACGTAGCCCAAGCACGCTGCTACTGCGCCCAGGCCTTTATTTTTGTGTTGTGGCCGATCTTCGCACCTTCTTGTGAGATGTAGCAATTGCAGACATCTGCTCTTATGAGTTATGTCTCAGCATTTTCTTTCCCCGGACGCCTACTACTAGTCAAACAGACTATGGACAATATCGGCAGAAGGTTTAGAGGGGAGATAAACATACTTAGAAACCAGTCTACGGAGATGAATGTCCATCACCTTCTGCTACCATGCAATCGCAGTGGCTCTCACGTTACGAAGATAACACTGTTTGGGTAGCAGTAGTTTCATGCAGGTAGTCAGCGTCAGCGAAGCATGACATTACCATCTCCCAGAACCAAGCATCCCAGTCCCATGTGTTTTTTTGTTTGTTTTTGTATCTGTTCTATTTTACATCGCAAGTCAAACGGGCAATCATGCCCACTGTTATCATCACAACGGGCAATCATGCCCACTGTTATCATGACAACGGGCAATCATGCCCACTGTTATCATGACGATGGAAGGGGAGAAAATATTTTAAAATGGTATGAATGACGTGGATAAGTGGAGTGAATAACACAGCGATCTTAGGAATCTCTCAGGATAAGGACCATCTTACTTCGTACTAGTAGCATGGGCCAGTAAACAGACCACAGGGTCCAGGCAAGTCTTGATGTGATTAACGCAGTGCAGTACTCCGCCAGTGTGTACAGTAAAACCTCTAACTAAGGACCACCTGCCACTAAAGACCACTTTCTCTGGCCCCCAAGGGGTGGTCGTTAGTCACAGGTTTTACTATACATATAACACCATAATGAAGTCATTATTATTTTTCCTATTTTGTAAGAGGTTTCCCAACAGGCAATGTTGCCTTTTTACTGGGAACCCTAAATGTGACTTTGTGTGAACGCGAAACAAAGTAGGCAACCCGACCAGGCGACAAGATTGAGGCAGCGCATTCCACCTGTCGGAAGTCGCAACGGTTGGTTGAAACATTTGAGAACACACATCTAGTAGTCAGCAATCTCTTGGAAGAGAATATTATGTACATGTATATTTCATGGCTTTTCGAAGGTAAAAATCCTTACCCTCCATCTCGCCTCTGGGACAGTCACCCGGGATGCTTACGACCCTATTCGTCGTGGCTGAAAGGATGCAATCCCCTTCCATGTTCCACATTGCCACGATCCAACAGGTGGGAATACCAAACAAGGAAACATCGGAGGAGCTCCAGCGGTTGCCGTGCATATCTGTCATAGTGAACGGATTTACCTCGGGGAGTGTGAGGTGTTGTGATGGTTAGGACAGTCTTGTACAATTATAGACGCTTCCGTACCTTTGCTGAGTGACCCGTCTGGTCACACCACTCGGTTTAAGCGATCCTCGATGGTTGTTTGCCCTTTTGCAATGCGTACTAGTATTGGTGCATGTCCATGTTTAGAGCAGAGTGAAGATGCGAAGGGTTGAGTAGCGGTAACGTTGTGGATTGAGACGTGTGCAGCTGATAGGGCATCATGCTGACTAGTCCTGGACAGTGCATGATAGATGCTTAGTATTACTATTAACTAGTGCCAACCCCACATGCGGTTCGCCTTCTCACGGGTAGATCTACCCTAACCAATCTAGCGGATATCATGACGGAATATGGACAATTATGAAGTGGAGCGAACAGCGGGTGGAAGGCTACTCCACCTATTGGGGACAAGACTTCTTCGCCTGTAATGCTACAAGTACAAATGATTCAAGTCATGCCCAATGTAGTCATCGCACCCTGCTTGCCTGGTCTCGGAGTGTGAGAAGAGCTGTCAAACGTTGTTGTGACCATATCCTCTTGAATGGCGTTGAGTGAGCGAGTGATTGAGTGAGTTTTTGGAAAAATAGGGCCAGTTTTCAGTTGAGCTATGCCTATGGATATGGCGTCTGAGAGACCCCTCTGAGAGACTGGCCGGGCCATCTTGCCGGAAAACATGAAAGCTGCCACTATCGGGTTTTAGTGCTGCTTTTCATCTGCCAACTAACTAACTTGCCACATTGTAACCATACCGTTGCAGCGTCATGATACGCTACATGATACTAGTACACGATCATCGCAGCAGGGGCTGCACGTCATGTGCCCGCAGCCTAGCACCACCCACTATGAAGGAGGTTCGTATCCGTGACTGCGGACTTCGCGTGATGGTAATTGACAAGACTATAATTGCACTGCGAAGAAGAGGTTGGTACGACTTCGGCGATACGTGGGGAATTGTGTGTTGCTCCCTACATGGGAGCTCGCGCTATTCCTGCCGACTTGAATTTTCATTTGACTGACTCACGACTGCCATCCAGAGCACACGAGAAGTCCGTCGAACTCTGCAAACCTACAAGAAAGCAGCACTCCCTGCTCAATACTAGTACCCAGTGTTTCGGGGAATTCACCCCTCATCAATTGAGCTTGAGTAGGCTGAGGAAGATTGTGCCTGAAGAGCACCGCTTACAATGTATAATATAGTGCTCTTCAGGCACAAACATCTCCAGGGATACAAACTTACAGAGACGCTCCGTTTGCAGCGCGACAAACACCTCGTGAACATCAGATGACAACTTGAGTCAGTGTCCCTCTTGGAGGTGCTGAACAAGCGCTGAGGACCGTTGGCCATTCACAACGTTGTTTCCTCCAAACCATCTAAATCCCGCGCCCGCACAGGGGACAACAATGTGAAGAAGAAGTTGGTGCGACTTCGGCGATACTTGGCGAATTGTGTGTTGCTCCCTACGTCATGTTTGCTCCCGTTATTCCTGCCGACTTGAATTTTCACTTGACTGACTCAATCCTTCAATTTTGCTGTTCAACGTTTGTTTAAATTTTGTTTGCTCTCCTTGCTTTCCTTGCATTGAGATCATCAGCGCTTTGTGCGTTCAATAAAACACCTTTTAGTATTAGTTATGAGAGTACTAATGCATCATGTTCCAGTACAGCTGAACTGAATCAAGAAAGATGAAGTATGGTGATACCGATGCATGCGTGGTGAATAGTGGTGTAGAGCTGTATGTGTGGTGAATGTACAGGAAAAAAGAGTACCGGAACTCCCCCCAATAAACTTTGTTTGGTGCTGCAAATTTCAAAGCTTTTTCGTGCAGAATCTGTCAATGTTTTTTTAAAAGTGTTAGTACTACAGCATTACCCGTCAATGCTTAGACCTGATGCTACGATGATGAGAACCCCTCACTACCACACAATGTCATTGTAGTGACTCTCCACACATTCGCACCACTACAGAATGCACATTGTATCCAGCTTGTCTCTCAATTCTCACACTTCTTCTCGTCACGTTTATACCTCACCTCACCGCATATCCACAATGTACAGTATCTTGCTCGTCTTGCCTGCTAGCACCCAGTTTGTCTTTAGGTTTACTATTTCACCGGGCCGAGGATAGAGGCCATGCCCGAACATGCCCGGTGAATCTACAATCTACATGTACTTGTAGTTTGCATGGAAGAGACCATGACTGAGTGGGGGGGGGGGGGGGGGGGGCACGGTTTGAACTGAGTAAAGCAGTTTTTGTAGCCGTTACATGTACTTGCTGTGCGAGTACCCTCCAGGTTAGAGTGTTGTATCAACATTCAAAATTGTCAACAATGAAAGGACTAGTCCGTCGTGGACTGGTGCCATTTGACCGCTGTCAACCAAGCCGCAGAGTGTAGGATATTTCCTCTAACCCAGAAGACCACGTCAAAATAATAATTATTGACGGATGACCCTTGGGCCTTCGCATCACATGCAGTCGTCATTTAGTTGGTTTTTCGCGGTGTGCAGTTGCCTCTTCAAGGCTCTTGATCTTGTACTGGCAAACAATGTTTCACACAGTGTGCACATGAACAATGTCAAAACTAAAATATTTACGGTCAGTGCACGACGCCGATGCCCGCCCCATTGTGGGGCAACCAATGAGTCGTCGGCGAGATCCACGCAGCCGAAGGTCGACAGCAGGAAAGATTGCGATTTGCCGGGGTGCAGATACGAACCCATGCCATCACAGACGCGTACGACTTCCCCCGCATAATGTGCAAGCGCAAGCTGACTGGCCCGGCGCCGCTGTTAGTTGATCTTCCAGTATTACTATTGCGCAGTATTGGGCAGTAACATTATTGTTATCGTAATGTTGTCGACTCACTACGACACTATACAGATCGCTGGAGTTGGTGCCAGTGCGGCCGCGCCGATGATCGGAACGAAACGTAGAGTGACCATGGTAACTAACTTGAACATGACAGACTAGTCATCTGGTCATGACTAGACTAGACTGTGATCATGTGATCACATGAGTGAAGAAAGAAAAACAATCCGATGACATCATGTCTTTGTATTGTACTCTACCACGCGCGGACTCGCGGAGTCGCGGACACTGAAAAGTGAAATACTTCAAATACTGAAATAGGAAGTCGAACTGTTTTTGCAAGTCGAACTGTTAGTCTTAGTGTAACTAATTAAATAATTATTATTACTTGACTTGACTTCGCCGAGCTGAAACCTTGGCTGAAACCTTGGCTGAAACCTTGGCTGAAACCTTGGAACTCGACCGAAAATGGGCAAAATTCAGAAAAATGCAAAAAAACATTCAGAACATTTTTCGGACAGGGATGCTGTAGTGTAGGCTATGCGTACACATATACACGTACACGCGGTCCACAGACTCTACACGTGATTAGTCTATGCATGAACTTCTGTAGCGGACATGGAAATCCAGTCGATTGACCGGGCCGGCGCCCTCACTGGAACGCTGCGTGCAGTGCACAAAGTCATGTTGATCCGATGCGACCAGCGCGCTGCATGCGCCCTGCAGGCCGCGACCGGATTTCCATGTCCACGACAGATGAAGCCTAGCCTCGGACTTCGAGCTACATGTACATGTACATCATCAATCATCATTAAATTTTTTAAAGTATTAATTTTACAGTCGTAATCGCTAGCTAGCGCGCTAGCTCTAGCGCGCGAGCGCTTGGTGACAGCGCGCGTGTTGACAGCGCGCAAAATTTGCGATGAAAATCTTGCAGTTCAGTAGAATGGTGGTATGGCCGAAATGGACTTGTCAGTTTGTATTTTGTTGTTATTCCTAGTTTCGCTTGCGGATGTATGGGACAGGGTTTGCACTGCTATTATCACCCTATCCGTGGTCGGTCCAAGTGGTATGCAGCTTTGAGTGACGACCAGTACTACAAATTAGAGCGTTACATTTGTAGCGTGCGCCGACTGATTATTGAACAGAAAATCCGAAGTTAGGAGAGCTGAGTGACTCCAGTTGTACTACAGATACACAACGGGAGGTTTTTGAATTATTGCCAGTTTGGTAGGTGAAGTGTAGTTTGTACGTATAGTTGCTATCGAGAGAACAACTGGAATTCTACAACGCTAGTAACGTACATGTAGTTGGGTCAGGCAGGCACAAGTCAGCGAGCGCTGCCTGATCAGTTCTGCTGCAGAGAGGCAACCTAGCGAGGAAATTTAGCGATATAGTTGTAGTCATTGAAACGCTCTTCAAGTTCAGATAGTACTGATAGCGAGCATCAGCACCAGCAACAGCAATAGCAGCTACAGCATCTGCAGTAACAGTATTTGCTGTTTGTCTGCACAATGGATCACAATGGTTATGATCAGTTCAACAGTCCACTGGAACTGGAGCCGTAAGGAAATTATTTTATAACTGAGCACAGAGAATTGAGCATATGTAATTGAGTGCATTGTTTAGAAGCGTACGCAGATGACATAGCATTTTCTGGCTTGATTTGTACATGTACCATTTCCCCCAGGAAAAAAAACAAAAACAATAGCAACAATAATCATCACTCATTGAAGCGGCAATGCATTTTTGTCCAAGGCAGTAGAAAGCATTTACGTATTCAGTCTCAAATCACTGCTTACCCTTCGTAACGGCAGAGCATTACCAAGGATTATAGCTCCAACACGCGTGCAACTCTGAATATTCTTGTACTGTATCGCGTCCGCCCACGGCGAAAACTCGCAACAGACACAAGCTCACAACTGAGCAAGCAAGTATGGCTTAGCGACTGAGCAAGCAAGTATGGCTTAGTGAGCTGTGGAATAGTAAAAAGATAACACTCCCTGGCATAAACCCAGCTTGTCCCAGTCAGCATGATCATGGAAGATATCTGGATGGATTTGAAGGTACCCCGTATTGTACGTACAGTAGAACATCTATTATCCGACCACCTCTGGGCAGCGGGTCCTGGGAAGGTGTTCGGATAATGAAATATTCCGGATAAGGAAAATCTCACCACAGGCCGTTACCTGTGTTTGGTATATCACAGTACCCGCAACAACAGTCGTTTTCATGTTATTTTTTGTAAGTTGTGTAAGTTTTTGACTGTACAGCCTGTACACAGTGGTACAGGTAGGGAGTGCGCGCTGCAGCAACTAACGTTTCGTCCAAGCTCGTGTACGAAAATGCGTAGCCATGCACGGTTAGAAAACCCAATATGGATAATCGAATGGTTGAATAATCGAATGTTCGGATAATCGAAGTTCTACTGTAGGACGTAAGGTACTTGGAAAATGTGATGTGACTACCGTACTGGCAATATATGTTGCCGCGTAACGCGTAACGCAGGGGGGTGCGGCGTAACGCGCGACCAGGCTAGTGCGACAAATTTTCGTTGAGTTCGTAACGCGCGTCCGGTGGGGTGCGGCGATCTTTTCATTGCAGTTTGCACTGCAAAAAAAAGGCTGAAAACTGTGAAAGCACGTGTACCGCGTGGTGAAAAGTTCAAAACTGGACGCAGCAGGAAGTCCTGACACTCGAAGGCGCATCATTCAGTGGTTGGCGATCTCAATGGTTTCTTCTTTCCTGAGGTCGTTTTGCGAAGAAGAGCGATGTGTTTACCAGTTTCCTTGTGACAATGCAGAAGTCTCTATTCGCCTTCGGCGTGAAGAAAATCACGCCCAAGCATCATGTGGATGAAAAGAAAAAATGATGCGGCAAAAGCAAAAAAATGATGCGGCAATAGCAAAAAAGTGATGCGGCAATAGCAAAAAAAGGACTGCGGCAATATAGAAACCTGTGTAACGGCTCCTGTGCGACTTTGCATGTAACGCCCTGCGTGCGGCAAACATGTGCCAATGTAACGCTTCATGGCCTCACTGCGGCAACATAATATATTGCCAGTACGGTATTAGGCCGCGTCAGATAAACCATATCCAAAGTTTCCAACTCTTGGGAGCATATTTACTCTTGGTGTTATGCATAGTGGCAGATGGGATTTTCAAAAACAAGACCATGTCAAGACCTGCAGACTTACTGCTGATAGGCTAGAGCCCTGCCTTACACCAGATGTAGATCATGACATGATGAATGTAACGTTGTAAACTACTACCTAAGCGCTCCGTCACGCGTGACCGTAGGGCAGGGCAGGTACGAGATAGGGGGTGCTGTGTGCGCCATGCGTCTAGGGAAAGTCTTTCTTGCTCATGTTGTCCGAACGCTGTGATCATACTTTTAAGATGGACCCTCGCAAATTGTGCAATTTAAGTCACTTTCAACCTAATTCTCCCGAATAGTGCTGTGTATTGCAGGGGTTAGGCGGCGCAGGCTACTGATGATGATGCAGTATAATTTGTAGTCTGTTCCTCAGCCAGCGGTGAGGCACGGGTGAGGCAAGGGTGAGGCAAGGGTGAAACCTTGGGGAACAGTGGAGTGCTACTATTGTACCGAGATTTGTGAGTGTGCGCGCATGTGTGTTACGCTTACACGTGTGTATGTGTGCGTATGTGTGCGTGTGTGTGTGTGTATGCGTATGTCTGCTCCCGATGCATGCTTATGATACATGGTGTATTACTAGATTACCAGCCAACATGAGTGCTAGTGAAAGAGCAGCAGTGACAGAACGGCGGATTCACCAATACGTAAGATGTCATTATGTCCAACGTGAGAATGCATCAGTTTTAACTGAATACTCTTAATTAATTAAGAGAGTATTCAGCTGTGAAAATGAGAATCCTGTGCACAGCTGTGTGCTTCCTTTGGTCACTACCAGTTTATCACCAGTCTACTAAATTTGATCAGTAGAGTTTTCACATAGCATGCCAGTATGTACACATTCGACATGTACAATGAAACCTGTCTAAGACGACCGCTTAAGTAGACCTTCAAAACGTGGTCTCTGTTACCAGGTGGTCTCCTTATCCAGGGCCATTTGACCGGAAATAGCATCCCTTTGTCCTTGTTCCAGTGGTCTTGTGGGACAGGTGGTTGCCGTATCCGAGTGGTTGCCTTAACAGGTTTTACTGTACTACTGTTCTATTGACTATGAACGAAATCAAAAGTAACGATAGTTGACCTGGATTATGTATATATATATAGATAGCTGTGACGTTTTCTTTTTCGTCACTACCCGAGTTACTCTGTGTGTGTGCGTGTGTGTGTGTGTGTGTGTGTGTGTGATGTGTGTTTCTCTGCTCCCTGGACTATTCTGCCCCCCCCCCCCTCTACTGTGCAGCATGCGCATATGAAGGAGAAGAAGAAGCAGACTTCACGTCATGCAGGTATGTCTATGGGTATACTTATAGTGATAAAGGAATGGTTCCTTGAAGAAGACAAAACTGGGTTTCAGCTGCACTCTTAGTCTATGCAAAGCAGTCATGACCCGGCCTTGCATCATTTAGATCAGGTGACACATTTTGGAGGTGAATTAGGCGGTAGGAGCCAAGAAGCAAATCTGTGAAATCCCCTCAGCTGGATTGCTTTTTGCAGTACACACCGGAATTTGGCCTCGTACAGCTGGGGCCATGGCCGAAGGGTGTCTATTTCTAGATTGTTTCCCTGGGCAGCTATGCTGTTGAAACCTGACAAGGTGGAAATAGCTATCTATGCTGAGATGAGACAGTTGTGCCTAACGTTCTGTTAGTGTGGCTGATGCCATCAAAGCATTCTATCAGCAACATATCATCTTGTTCATTGGTATACAGCAGAACTCACCTAACGCCAATGTTTGCGAACCAGGAAAGGATTCCATTGTTGACAGAATTTTGTGTCTGAGGCAATACACCGTAACCTGTTTAAGACGACCGCTCAAGAGACCTTCAAATCGTGGTCTCTTTCACGGGTGGTCTCCAAATGACAGGGTCTTTTAACTGGAAATGACATTGCTTGATCTCGGTGGCAGTGGTCTTTTGTGACAGGTGGTCGCCTTATCCGAGTGGTCGCCTTATCCGAGTGGTCACCTTATCCGAGTGGTCACCTTGACAGCTTTTACTCTACATCCAATTTTTTTAAAAATATGCATACAATTTTCTCTATTGTGCTTCAACCAATGCATGCATGGTGTTGTTAATTTGGTTTTGTTGTAGTTATGTATACCCTCACCTCAAGTTCTATGATTCCTGATCATTGTGTGTATTGTCCACAGGCCGGGCAATGCCAGGAGGTCTGGTAGCGCACGGTTCAAGATCACAGCAGCAGCAACAGCAGTTTGTGCTTCTTCCCCCGCCTAGAGCCAACACAGAGGCGCCAAAGTCAACAGCATCCGCAAGTGGAGGAGGTATGTACATGTACACTGCACAACACAGTATTCGTGGTTTAGTACTGTCGGGTAGTGCAGAAGAACGACCAGGCTAGGATTTCACCAAGCACAGCATACCAATGTATGCATGGTGACTCAACTGTGCATCAACTGTAGTGTATGAAATAAGAACGGCCTAGGCTAGGAGGCTGCCCCCCCCCCCCCCCCCAATCAGTTCTTAGGCACCAGATACTACTAGTACTGTACAGTAATTATACTGTTGATGGACATGGCATGTTTTCACACATAGTAGTACAGTGGTGCTCAATGATGTACGAATGCATGAGTCAAGTACGTGTTGGACGCTGTGCAGACCTAGACCTGCGAACACTGGTATGTGTGAGTAGGTGCAGGGTGCACAGTGTCCAACACGTACTTGATTGCACAGTGTCCAACACGTACTCGATTGGATTTCATTGAGCAGCTCTGTACTATCCAGTGCGTACATGCATGCAGTGAAAACTGGATAGGGAATACAAGGGCGTTGGTAAGTCAACCATGCGTTGTACTGTGTCACTTTGATTTAAGCCCTTTGTTGCCGGCGGTATTTTTATGTAAAGCAATAGCACTGTGAACGTTGGATGGCTATGCACAAGTCATGAATATTTCGTATGTACAAGTACAGAACAACAAGGACAATCAAGGCTTGGTTGCTGCTACTTCAAGTTGCATGCTCTCGCAATCATCAGGCAACAGTTGCCTGATGATTGAGTGAGCATGCTACTTTTTAATGTAGCGACAAACAAGCCTTGATTGTCCTCGTTGTTCTGTGTATTATGCTCTGCCTCCGCGGCGGTGTTGAGCACTGTCAGCACACTGGGTAAATCCTCCGGTGTATGTACAAGTAAACATTTTCTGATAGATATTGGCAAATGCGATGCGAACATACCAACATTTGGTATGTCCCCAAGGCCTAAGGATAATATACGCTCAGCTGAAGTCCAAAATATGCGAAAATAGTGCAAAAGTCATGACTCTACCGAATGTACACTCATACCATGTCTGCTGCTGCTGCTCCTGCTCCTGCATTTAGTGGAATTGGTCAAAGGCATGGGAGTGGTAGATCCTGAAGCACTGTCGATGTGGCAAGATGCAAGAATGTAACTGGATTGCCTTGGCAATTCTAGCAAACAACGTTTTGTATACCGACTTGTTGTTCTTCCCTTTGCGGCTCTGGCACACCACACCATTCTGTCGCTGTCCTGCATAAACTGCTACTGTCGTGGACATGAAAATCCCGTCTGAGGTCAAGCGGCCCAGGGCGCTGGCCATGCAGTCGTGAGCTGAGGTCAAGCGGCCCAGGGCGCTGGCCATGCAGTCGTGAGCTGAGGTCAAGCGGCCCAGGGCGCTGGCCATGCAGTCGTGAGCACGCATACAATCAACATGTGCACTGCATGCAACGAATGGTTACGTTCTGTAGGCACTGAGGGTGCCGGCCCCACGTCAATTGACGGGATATCCATGTCCACGACAATGCATGTGGGTTGTACAGTGTCTTGCTGGCAGCTGCTGTTGGAGCTGACGACACTCGTTAGTACAATGGCGGGCTTTCATCGGGTGCAATTCCAGTCTGCTGTTGCACAAGCTCATTCTGGAACTCGAATTGTGAATAGCTCTTGATCCGCTTGAGACTGCCGGGATTTGCTTCCCGGTATGTCGAGGGGACTGCTCTGCCAGAGCATGCAATGTATAATGGTTGTCATCACTTTCAGTACTTTCATTATGGTTTGTACTTGGTAGTCCTACGTTGTCTTATTTCTATTGTGTGTTGCATTTACTCATGTCTTCATCACGTCATGAAGCAACTCTTCATGCGTCATCTTGACCAATATTTAATTCTTTAGTAGCATTCTGGGCACGATCACCTGCAATAGCCGTTCTAAAGGCTAATCTACGATGTTAGGTGGCCACTAGCTGCTGGTACCCCTGTCTTTCAGCAGGTCAGCTCTGACCATGGGTTGCTGGTGCCTGTCTGTCAACAGGTCAGCTGACCATGGGTTGCTGGTGCCTGTCTGCCAACAGGTCAGCTGACCATGGGTTGCTGGTGCCTGTCTGCCAACAGGTCAGCTGATCATGGGTTGCTGGTGCCTGTCTGCCAACAGGTCAGCTGATCATGGGTTGCTGGTGCCTGTCTGCCAACAGGTCAGCTGATCATGGGTTGCTGGTGCCTGTCTGCCAACAGGTCAGCTGATCATGGGTTGCTGGTGCCTGTCTGCCAACAGGTCAGCTGACCATGGGTTGCTGGTGCCTGTCTGCCAATAGGTCAGCTGACCATGGGTTGCTGGTGCCTGTCTGACAACAGGTCAGCTGATCATGGGTTGCTGGTGCCTGTCTGACAACAGGTCAGCTGATCATGGGTTGCTGGTGCCTGTCTGCCAACAGGTCAGCTGATCATGGGTTGCTGGTGCCTGTCTGCCAACAGGTCAGCTGATCATGGGTTGCTGGTGCCTGTCTGCCAACAGGTCAGCTGATCATGGGTTGCTGGTGCCTGTCTGCCAACAGGTCAGCTGACCATGGGTTGCTGGTGCCTGTCTGCCAACAGGTCAGCTGATCATGGGTTGCTGGTGCCTGTCTGACAACAGGTCAGCTGATCATGGGTTGCTGGTGCCTGTCTGACAACAGGTCAGCTGATCATTAGCTGCTAGTACCTGTATGTTGGCAGGTCAGCTGACCATTAGCTGCTGGTTTCTGTCTGTCTACCGGCAATGTGGTCTAGACCAGGCCTTGCCTGTGGCAGCCTGCCTCCGTGAATTTGTGGTTCACTCTGAGATTTTGACATACGATAGCCCAAGCACGCAGGAGATGCAGTATTATTCGAATGAAATTCGAATTTGTGTCTACTCGTGTATGTGTGTGTACTGAAGTACATGTGTGTACGGGTATGTGTGTGTATGTGTGTGTGTGTGTGTATGGTACATGGTGTGTGTGTCTGTGTGTGTTTCATCATGCCATGTTATACTAATTCAGGAAGAGGGTCTCGAGATGTTTCCAGCACATCGTCATGGCCAGCTGATGTGAATCAGGGCAGCTACGGAGCAATGCCCACCTCTGAATCGGTGAGCTAAGTTCTCTTCTACATACCCTGTGCATCTTTTTCGGCAAGATAGCAAAGTTGACTGTATGTGTGTGCGAGGTGTGGGTTGGGGTGTGGATGCCTGTCTGTGGCATTCAACAAGTCGTAACTAACCGACTTACATTCGGACTCGGGTGATCCTATAATGTGTTAGAACATCGGTGTTGAGTGGTCGATGTACATGTACGCTTGTTGGCGTACATATCCCTACTGGGGATGATTTGATGTGACTGCTGCACTGTAGGACCATGCAGCTAAGCACACTCCTATCTCGGTTATCTGGACCCCAAATTTACGGGCACTTCGGTCTTCCGGGCACCCTTTGGGCGAGTTTAAGGGGAAATATTACTACTCTTTGGTCACTTTTCATGGAAATAGTGATGTCATATGCCATATGTATGACCTTTCCCAATGAACATGTATGTGATTCGGAGTTACGGACATTTAGAAGTTACGGCCAGTGCCCGGTTCCGGACCGCCCGGATAAACGAGGTATGAGTGTACTTTATCTACTGGAGATGTGTCCGGCTTTTCAGGGTGACTTGCCACTTCAGCACCACTGTTTCAGCGCGATACGTTTCATTTCAGCGCCAGCACTTCAGCGCATGATTTCACAGCGCCATCTTCAGCGCCATGATTATCAGCGCGGTAAAGTACAACGCCAGCAACTCAGCTCGAAAAAGCAAGGCGAGGTATTTTACAGCGCGGAGAAGCACAGCGTGATATAGTACAGTACGATCAAGTGCAGCGCGGACATGCACAGTGCGAAAAAGTACAGCGCGAAGTAAGGCGCTAGGCGCTAGGTGATGTACATGACATGTATAACACTAGTTTGTATTATCGATAAAATAGCGCTATGATACATGTGCTGAGATATGGGGTGCAGAGATCTGTGGCGCTGAGAAAGGTCGCGCTGACGTATTTAGCGCTGAGATATTTGGCGCTGACATATGAAGCGCTAAGATATTCGGCGCTTATCTACTGGCGCTCAAGTATTCGGCGTTGAAATATTTGGCATCCAATACACCAAACCACCACATTGCGCTCTTGGCCAATCCAAACTCTGCACTCCCATCACCATCACCACAGCGAGGACAATTCCGGTATATAGATTGATATTGACAATGACCCTCCAGACAGCTGTTTTGCTCCTCCTGAGCTCATCAGTGGAGGCATAATGATGTTGATTGAAAGAAGAATAAGAATAGACTGATCTTTATAGGGCTAAATTGGCGCAATTGCGCTCATTCTGCATAGAAAAGTGGCATGCCCTAAGTGAAAAAAGTGAAAAAAGTGATAACAAGGTCAGGTGATAACGACACACGCTCATGGCTGGGACAGGAATATGTAGCACGTGTGAAAAGGGGGGTGCAAAAAACAGCAGTCAGTCTAACACCAGAAAAGTTAGTTATTGCATGTGCCACAAAAACAAAGATACTGCGGCTGACTGTACTTGTCCCATAGTGACGTGACGGGGAACGAACGATGAAGTGAACTGGCCACGTGGCAGACCCAGAGGCCCCTGAGGCAATCACTGTCCTGCCAGCCTGTCGCACACAGCCCCACTACGCTGCCATACCCGTTGAACACGTACACTGATGTTGCCTGCGCCTTCAGTCAGTTCCAGTTCCGCAGTCCTACTCTTGACGTGACGATTCCCTGCCAGAAATTTGAGCTGGGAAGATTATCACGCCATTGCGCACGTGGGAAGCTGGTGAGTGGATCACATGACCTAGTTTCGGGGTTCACGTGACGGTGCTATCGTGGCAACCATCCCATTCCGCCAGCCCATCCCGTTCCGCCAGCCCTTCCTGTGACAACCATCCCATTCCGCCATCCCTTCCTGTGAGTGTGGACACACCCTAAGCAGTTCAGTGGGAGCACAGCCCGCAGCACAGTGTGGTGGAAGGGGTAGCTGATCATCTGAATCTCATCTGGTTACAAGAACGTTTTCAATACTGAGATGAGCCATGGCCTGCTGATAGAGTTGATAGCTTTTGATATGTCACGACGAAGAATATCCAGCAAACAGTAAACGTGCTGACGTCGAGCTGCCAGCCATAAGATCAGATGACGTCTGTGGTACTTCTTCTGATGAGGAAACCACTTTGCATGTTCGCAACAAAGTTGTTTTTGTGCTTGTAGATCATCCGCAGCACAATCAATAACAAAATTGTCCTGAACGCTGTCTGTAGAACTACATTTATATGAAAACAAGAGTTGCAATAAACTGAGGGATTGAATGGAGTGGGCCCATACTGGCGGAAAAGTTTCCATTTTAGATTGCGTATCTTGTAGATCTAGAATCCTATGTCCTCCACCTGTGTGTGTGTGTGCGTGCGTGTGTGTGTGTGCGTGCGTGTGTGTATGCATGCATGTGCGTGTGCGTTTGCGCATGTGTGTGTATGCACTTCTGTGCCATACAGGTCTCTTCAGCATCATCGTTCCAGAAGAAAATGGAGGCAGGTTCAGTTCGAGGTGATGTTGATTTCTCAGTATCAACTGACGCACCGAGACTTGACAGATCTGGTCTGGATCTACAAGTCACTGGCCAAAGTGTTGCTATGGCTACTGATGAGTATGGGGCAGGTAATCAGCGTCACATGTACTCCGGCAGACACAGAAGTCCAGCTGACGATAGCGGTGATGAAGAGGTATGTGATAATGTAGACACAGGAGATGGTGAGAAATCAAGGAGGATGTTTATTATGGTGGTGCTGGTGTAAACATATTCTGCTAGTCGTCAGGATTTGCTACTGTAGACAAGCATCAGCGCTTGCCCCCAGGCGCAGGCATTGAGTGTTCTATTGAAAGTTTCCGCTCAGAAAGTCTCTTGCCACAGAAGACCCTTGAGCTTGGTTGTAGAGACCAATGCAATGACGTGGAAGAAGTGAGCATAGCCTTCACTGTGCCCACCTCATCGGTACAGGAAATTTCCAACACCTCCTGTAACCACAGTTTGAAAGTATTACTTGTGTACTTGTGTACTGTATTAGTGCAGGCGCTGTGGCCGGATTCCTGAAACAAATACTTGTGTACTCGATATGCAGAATTGGGGAAAGGTTGGACGGATATTGTTTGTTGACTCTCTGTATGTAAAAAATACTCTTGTTGTTGTTGTTGTTGTTGTTGTTGTTGTTGTTGTTGTTGTTGTTGTTGTTGTTGTTGTTGTTGTTGTTTGTGGTGTTGGTGCTGTAGGATGATGATGCTGCATACCGTGGTGGACATGCTACTGGCGGTGCTGGCAGAGCTGCTGTTGTCGGGGTGGGTGACCTTGGCTCTCCGCAATCAGCAGGCGTAGACTCTATGTCCAGTGCACAGCATCTTGTCAGTGATTCTGATTCCACTGCTGATGCTGCCGCTGCTGCCGCTGCTGCTTCTACTGGCAGTGGCAGCAATGGGAACCTCTCACCCAATGCACCGTCGGTAAGGAAATACACCAATAACCATGTGGGTTTGTGTATGTGTGTGTGTGTGTGTGTGTGTACATGTATGTGTGTGTGCACGTGTGTGCACGTTTTGGCAAGGGCCGGGGGGGGGGGGGGGGGGGATGTACGTATGCGTTCTATGAAACAAAATTGTTGCATGAATTTGTACATCAGCTAGAGCTGCTCCCACTTCTATTGCTGCTGGTTCTGTTCCATTGCAGTTCTGTTCCACTGCAAGTGTTCCTTTGACTGAAATCATCCCATAAATCAGTAGCAACTAGAGGTCAGGTATCAATTTCAGTAATGTACTGTCATTCCTCATTATCATCTGTCTGTCTTTGCTCGTCTTGTTTCCCCTGCAGTACCTGCCTCCCATAGAGATTGGTCGTTTGGAGGACTTTGTGCAACGGTGAGTTTCATTGTGACTCTGGATACCGCCAATTGTACAGTGTTCAATGAATGATATTAGAGCACTGCAGTGCTACATAGTAGTTGCTGTATCTGACCCAAGTTTACACCCACGAAAGTACACTGCTGCTCTATGACATTGGATAATGTGAGTCAAGTATGCGGTGGGTGCTTTACCGCCCTAGAGGCTAGACAGATGAACAGTGGGCTGTGAAATGGTGTGGTGTGCTAAGTGACTCACGTATAAGTATACGGATATCATTGCGCAGCACTGTTGGTTTGATGTCGTCCGTATCATCCCATGCTGGACCAAGGTGTGTGCCAGTCAAGGTACATGCATGCTAGGTGCCATACAACCTCATCCCGTACATCAACTTCACCACTCCATCACTCCATCGTGTGATGGTAGTGGGTCAGGCAAGAGTGCCAGGAAATCTGGACTATGTAGTCGCCAGGTTTACATTCTATCCGAGCCTGCACTAAACGTTCTCTTTAGTGTGGAGGCTCTGCAACAAAGCACTGCATAGCACAGCACACGCACACACACACACATGCACAGCATAGCACAGCACACGCCAGGCACCAAAAAAGCAGATCTTTGCACCAGCATATAGATCAGAAGCAAGAAGTGCGTAAACTCTGCATTTGCACTGTACGCGATTGCATACTCACCCGCAGAAAAACCTTTTTTCCTGTTTCACTTCAGGGGACTGCTCAAAAGATTTCGATATCAGAACTCTTCATCAGTGGTTGTTTTAAGTGGCAACTTGTTTCGATTTACATAAGAAACAAACAAAGGAATCCGATCTTAAAAAATTATGGATTGTCCCTCAGAGGGGCATAGCTGGTCCCCCTTCTAACGGGGGGGGGGGGGGCACTGCCGCATACGTGTATGATGGTTGGTGCATGTCATCATGGTCATTATGTGCATGCTGAACCTGGGTCGACATTTTGAAGGTACAAATATCCCCATGCCCCATATGGGCTGCGCGTCTGCCTTATTTACTTCTCATAATAGACCTTCTTGCCACTCTGTATGTTTTAAGTGAGGGCAGTTAGGGCAAGGGAATTATCGCACAGCAGGTACAAATGTTGTACTTACTCCATGTGTCACACGGGCATCCGAAACACACATTGGTTCTATTTAGGTTTTGTTCTTTGTTCACCACACATTGCAATGGCACACTATCTATAGCAAAGCAAACACGATGATTGACACTGCTTGTTGCCTGGGTATACGTTACAGGAATTTGTAGTGAAAAGAGAAAAGGACCAATAAGTTACTAGTTATGACTAACAGTTCACCCCTGTAACAAGATGTCATACAGTCAGGTAGTGCCTTGTTGTCGCACTATCTGACTGGATGTCATACAGTCAAGTAGTGCCTTGTTGTCACACTATCTGACTGTATGACATCTTGTTACAGTGGTGGACTGTTAATCATAACTAGTAACTTGTCGGTCCTTTTCTCTTTACATATAATATTGGCTGACCATCCGAGTTTAAATAAGCAATTTGTAGTGATCATCATAGTTTGTATGATGTTTTCCTTTTCCTCTGTGTTTAACATCACTGTTAGGTCTATGGCATCGGACATAACCGCACGTTGTCGATTAACTCGCAAAGACGGAACGTATTTCATGCACTTGGAGATGCCCAATAATGTCAAGGTATGATTACCGATAGTACCCATTATCCATTACCCATTGCTGTGTAACTGCTATCAATGGTGTCTCCATGGCTTTGTTCATCAGAGCTATGGTAACCATGGTTTCCTCGTGACTCTGATCATCAAAGATGTCGAGCATAGGCCCCAGCAGGGAAACCAGTTTCTAATGTTTGTGTGCTGAATTGTAAAATAGGGATATTGCAACGAAGATAATAGCAATGAGCGCGACGACAACAAAGACGACAATCAGACATATACCAAGCCCTATTGAACTGGCTTATCCAGTATACTAGATGGTCAAACATTGATAACTGTCAGGTTCCCATCTCCCGTACATTGTATTCCCACACATCTTTTCCGCAATCCCGTATAGCACCTTATGTTACGTTATCCCTGGTAGCTCCTTATGCGCTTATCATACATAATATTTGTAGCTACTCAGGCCAATGGAACCTAAGGTGCCACACGGTAACGCAGGAAGCTGTGTATACAGGGTACAGAGGAACGGATTTACAGTGATAAGATCAGTATGGGAGACAGGGACCTAACGTAACAATCCATGTCTAAACATGGGTAGGGTACTGCCAACAAGCTGACCTGATTGGGAACTATGGCACATTGTATTATCAAGGCATAGGTAGCAACTAGTGTATACAATAGGTACCATTGTGGCTAATGCCAAAGCTAGTATTGTAATATCCAATGTGCCGTAGTGTTGCCAATGCAACATTCAGCTTAGCTATGGAACAGGGCATAGGTATAGAACAAAGCAAAGCTATGGAACAGGGCATAGCTATGGAGCCAGGCATAGCTGTGGAACAGGGCATAGCTGTGGAACAGGGCATAGCTGTGGAACAGGGCATAGCTATGGAACAGGGCATAGCTATGGAACAGGGCATAGGTATAGAACAGGGCATAGCTGTGGAACAGGGCATAGCTGTGGAACAGGGCATAGCTATGGAACAGGGAATAACTGTGGAACAGGGCATAGCTATGGAACAGAGCATAGCTGTGGAACAGGGCATAGGTATAGAACAGGGCATAGCTATGGAACAGGGCATAGCTATGGAACAGGGCATAGCTATGGAACAGGGCATAGCTATGGAACAGGGCATAGCTGTGGAACAGGGCATAGGTATAGAACAGGGCATAGCTATGGAACAGGGAATAGCTATGGAACAGGGCATAGCTATGGAACAGGGCATAGCTGTGGAACAGGGCATAGCTGTGGAACAGGGCATAGCTGTGGAACAGGGCATAGGTATAGAACAGGGCATAGCTATGGAACAGGGCATAGCTATGGAACAGGGCATAGCTGTGGAACAGGGCATAGGTATAGAACAGGGTATAGCTATGGAACAGGGCATAGCTATGGAACAGGGCATGGCTATGGAACAGGGCATAACTATGGAGCAGGGCATAGCTATGGAACAGGGCATAGCTATGGAACAGGGCATGGCTATGGAACAGGGCATAACTATGGAGCAGGGCATAGCTATGGAACAGGGCATAGCTATGGAACAGGGCATAGCTATAGAACAGGGCATAGCTATGGAGCAGGGCATAGCTAGGAGAAAAGCCGGACATGATTCATGTGTACTTTAGACTGGAGAGCACCATGGCCGTGATGAAAAACTGCAGAGTTTAGTGCATAAATGATGGTGACATAATGCATAGAGAACTCCACAAAGTTAAAATAATCATTAGTGCTAAAGCCGCTAGGGCCAGATTAATGCATGACTAGGCGCTCGTCACCAGATTTTTGGATAATATTAAACGCGGGGGGGGGGGGGGGGGGGGTGCAAGGTGATGGGAATAAGGTGGCCTCGTGAACATTCATAGTGAAGGTGAGAAGAGACAGCAGAAACCCAAAGGTTGTGCTATGTAGTAGGGATATATGGGGTGATAAGGCTGGTTTATTATCGTGGATACGAGCACAAAGGCGCATGTCAAGGCAAAGAAAACTCTGGAGGAAATCCTTATTGGGTTGCTGGTACTGGTTCTACACACCAGGAGGGAAATTCTGTCGGGGTCCAATGCCTGTGTGAGCTAAGTGGAACTGCAGGGTTAGCCAGCAGAGCATGTATCCTGGCCATGGCCAGAGCGGCTGCAAGAGAGGCATCTGTGGGCGAAGTGGCAGTTGGAGCAGGAGCATTTCCCTCGATTGAAGAAGTGGCATATTTCTTTGTCGACCGAGTGGTTGTCGCTGGTGGGCCGGAACGGAAGGAACGAAATACCCGTGCATCAAAGATTGTTGTGTAAATGTCCTGGAGAATAGCGTCCCTCCTCGTGGTTCGGTCCACCACCAGCAGTAAGCAAAGCGACCAGTTGTACTCGTACACAGCCTAAAACCTAAATTTCCAAACAACCTTCAAGATAATGTGCTGGTACGAAAATATCTCTGGGGTCCTGGGGGGGGGGGGGGTGCAGTTGATTGATCTTGCAGTACTTCGTCCAGGCGTTGACAGCCAGGTCTCAATGTCATCCACGTTCCTGGATGGCCTGCTTGCTGGCACCAGAACCACTGCGCCTTTGGAACTGCTGTGGTGATTATGCTGCGACCGGTATCTGCTTGGGGCTGGCTTGGCAACATTGAACCAAATTCAACAGTTTTCCAAATGTGGTGAATGCTGAGTTCCATGCTGTGCGTGGGGAGGTTACCAGTGCTTGGGGCTGAGCCTGATGCCGCCTTTGGGATTGGCAGCATGCCTCAAGCTATTGTCTGAGGTCCCAGGACAGCGAAAACTTCCTCCCAGATAGTGTGCCATAGGGAAAGTGCAGAGGTCGACTCGGCTAAAGTCTGGACCACGGATGCGACGGCCAAATCTTCGTGCGCATCGACTCAGTCCAATAACTCAAGCAGGCGAGTTATGTAGCAGAGTTGGGTTCGTATCTAACACTTTTATTACCACGGTAGCTAATGCAGCACATCACAGGAGCCACCGGAAGTTTTGAAGAAAACTTTCGTACCGTTCATACCATTGCTCTTCAAACTCGGTACAATTGTGCTGGTTTCATTATGCTCAACTGGATTTATCCCGAGATTCCGCCAAACACCCACCCGTATATCCACATACATGCATGCTCCGCAAGCCAGACTTTTCGCTGTTACTACCACTTTGTAGATAGCTGTCGAGATAGAATGGATTGATGTTTCCATGTTGGATGCGATTTCAAGAAAATACTAGTAGTCAACAGCTATTTTTTAAAGTCGGCGTGGAGACATGAAACCTAATATGGATGAAAGTAAAGTGAGTGCACTCTTACCAGGAAAACATTTTTTTAATTTCTAGCCTCAGTATTAGGATGCCGTGAACAATCTCAGGGCAACTTCTTCGAAAACACAGAGTCTGCTTTTCTGAGTTCCCAAGCACATCTGACATGGCGCAAGAAGACCATGGTAATCACTTCGAAGAATTCGCATCACTGAGACGGATTCGTAAAGACACTGGCACTTATTGAGACGGATTAGTATAATAAAGGCTGTGGGATATATCTTGGTTAAACCCGGTTTGATATTCTAAAGTTGGCATCCTGAATATGGATTGATATTCTGATTTTGGATTGATATTGGGGAGTTGGATTGGCATCCTGCATTGGAATCGGTTGCATTCTGCTAGTAATGCCGAGTATACATGCCCTGTGTTTGTTGTCGCGGTGTTTCGGTTTGTGTTATTGTTGCACAGAAGTTCGTCATGGCTGCCAAGAAAAGATCTAACGCAGCGTCCAAGGAATTCGTCATAACTCTGGACGCGACAAACATCTCCAAAGATTCACCGTCGTACGTGGGCAAGTTGAAGTAAGTTCACTCACAGTCAACACATCTAAGTGGTGTGTGTAATCATTGACACCAAGACTTAGCATTAGTAACCATTGAGACCAAGACTTCGTGTATGGACGGACAGGGGTGTAGCTGGTCCCTCTTTTACGGAGGTGCACGGTCGCATATGTGTAGGATGACAGGTGCATGTCATTCATGGCAATTATGTGCATGCTGAACCTTGGTCGATATTTTTAGGGGGGAGGGGGGGGGGGGGAGTGCACATACCCCCCCCCCCCCCCGTGCCCTGACCTGATGTGTCTGATTCAGTAACACTGGGCGGTGTCTATCAAGCAGTTGTAGCATACAAGAAGACAACACAAGATCATAGTAACCTGAAGCGATATTTGTTTCGACCCCGGATTTTCAAGTTCTATGTGATCCGTGGTCTTTGTAAGTTGCCATAGCGACTGTGACCTGCTGTTGCTGCCAAACACGTTCCAGGCCAGTTCAGCCATAAGTGAGTTTGCACTGTGAGTGTGCCTTGCCCCAAAGCTGACTAAAACCGATAGTCCGGGAGCGAATCACCCATATTGTTTCCTCGTTCCGGTTTCCGTGCAGCCTCCGTGCATACTATAAAAAATTCGCCTTGGGCGGACTAATAAAGTAATAATGTGTGTGTGTGTGTGTGTTTTTGCATATGCATGTGTGTACATGTGAACGTGTGTTTGTACGTGTGTGTGTGTGTGTGCGTGTGCGCTTGTGTGTATGTGTGCGTATGTGCATGTGTGTGTATGTGTATGTATGTATGGTTACGTGTGCCTGTGTGTGTGTGTGTGTGTGTGTGTGTGTGTGTGTGTGTGTGTGTGTGCTTACATATGTGTATGTGTATGTGCGTGTATCACTATGGCGATCATGCAGGTGTAACATGACTGGAACAGAGTTCACTCTGTATGACACAGGTGTGAACCCCAACAAGAGTCGTGCGCTACCTGATCATTCCAATGTCCGAGAAGAGTTGGTTGCTGTACATGCGGTAAGTGTACTCCCTCCCCCCCCCCCCCCCCTCACACACACACCGTGCTCCCAACCACACCCCTGTTAGTAGCACTCCCCCACCCCCCCCCCCCTCACACACACACCGTCCTCCCAACCACACCCCTGTTAGTAGCACTCCCCCACCCCCCAAAAAAATCTACTGCCAGTACCACAGCCCTTCACCCCCCCCCCCCTTAACCCCCCACCCCGCACACACATACCGTCAATATTGCTGTACATACAGTCACTGTCAAGATAGCCTGACCCAATTCCTCAAGTTGGCTGCCCAAGCCACACGGTCAGGTGTTCGTTTGACGGACATTCTGGATTGAGCTCTGCGCCAACCCCAAGTAATTGCTCAGGATATCTCCGACACTGACTCTACGTTTGCGTTTGCATCACCTGTTACTTCCCCTGTTCATGCAACGGCAACGGCTTCTGTTCCTTCTGTAATTGCCTCTGTTGCGTAGAAATTTTATGCATGACAATCATCATGATTGCTTTCTAGTCTACAACACCCGTAACAAGTTAGCTGTGTGATTCATTGTAACAAGTTAGCTTTGTGATTCATTTCCTGTTCTTCTGCTCAGGGTAAATCTGTGTTGGGATTGTCAGGTCCACGTCGTCTCTCTATCATACTACCGCACCTTAACCAGGCACATGAGCGCATCAAAATCTTTCCAAAATCCGTAAGTGAACTGCGCTTGTATACCTTCTTGTCAAAGTATTTTTGGAAGTTGGACTAGTTTCAGCTCCACAGTCCAGTTTATAGCTTTCATGGCTGACTCAGTTGCCAAGGCTGATTGGAAAAGTAACTCCAGTAGTTTCACTTCAAGAGACCAGTGTATCTAGTGTCTGCTGCTATCAAAGCAGCATGCTCAGCTGTGAATACCGGTTACCCTACCAAATGGAGTGTGTGTGTGTGTGCGCGCGTGCGTGCGTGCGTGCGTGTGTGTGTGTGTACATGTGCTTGTCTTTGTTATTCCTGGCTCATTCTACCACCGTGGAATGATGATGATGATGTCAGGAGAGTGAGTCGCTATTGGAAGCATTCAAGGCTAAAACTCTACCTGAGTCTACCGTTATCCTGCAGAATAAGTTACCTACCTGGAGCAGCGGTGAGTGAAGCTGTGGTTGTGTTATGCATGGGTGTGTGTGGATGTGCAGGTATTTGTGTGGATGTGCATGTGCGTATGTGCAGGTATGTGTATGTGTCTGGGAAGTGCGGTGGTGGGGCTGTGCCCCGCTTCATATTTTGAATGAGTGATCAATTCCTTGATGAATGCTGTCCAGGGTTCTAGCCAAAGGGCGTAGGAGAGAGGGGGGGGGGGGGGGGTGCAGCCCCTGAACCTCTGTGAGAAAGTGCCACCCCCTACCCCCTGTGGAAAAGTGCCGCCCCCAATCCCCCTGTGAAAAAGTGCCGACCCCTACTCATTTTCCGATTTTCGTGTTTTTCATGCAATTCACCGAAAATGCAGTCGAAAGTCACTATTAGATGGTTCATGAAGGCATCTTTGTCTGGGGGAAGTCGGGGATTCGCCGCATACGCTGCATTTAGCGTGTCAAGACAATAATGGAAAGTGGAAAATGGGATACGGGGTAACTGTTTCCCATCCCCCCCCCCCCCGCCCCCCCGCCCCGCCCCGCCCACACTATTTTGTTGCGTTGTGTACTACAGTATGCAGAGAGTGAACCGTTTGGTCTCAACTTCAATACTCCATGTGTATTGGTCTCAACTTCAATGGTCCATGTGTATTGTTCTCAACTTCAATGCTCCATGTGTATTGGTCTCAACTTCAATGCTCCATGTGTATTGTTCTCAACTTCAATGGTCCATGTGTATTGGTCTCAACTTCAATGGTCCATGTGTATTGTTCTCAACTTCAATGCTCCATGTGTATTGGTCTCAACTTCAATGCTCCATGTGTATTGTTCTCAACTTCAATGCTCCATGTGTATTGTTCTCAACTTCAATGCTCCATGTGTATTGTTCTCAACTTCAATGGTCCATGTGTATTGTTGTATGCTATGCAGAGAGTGAATCTTTTGTTCTCAACTTCAATGGTCGGGTAACCAAAGCTTCGGTGAAGAACTTTCAAATAGTGCACCCGGAGGACAGTAAGTGTGTGTGTCCATTCACGATGTCATAATGTTATGTGAACACGGAATGTGCAATGCCTTGGGGATAACACCATTAACATTTTGTTCTGGTGTTCTGGGGTTAGTGTATTTGTGTGCTTGAGCTACATCTGCACCTTGCTCCGTACAGGGTGTTGGCATTCCGATGGATGCGTGAGACTCGGCCTTCAGACTCGGCCTTCAGCCGGCCTTCAGCCGAGTCTCCCGAGAACCGTGACTTTTCTTTTCTTTCGTGCATTTGATGATAAATGAAGGAATTCCACCTCCAACACATGCACTCTCTGTCAGGTAGTGAATGTGCTGGAGGTGGACTTGCTTAATTGGTGAACAGGCCCAAAGATGCTGCTTACCCCTTGAGTACAATACGTGATGATAACATTCTCCTGCTCTCACTGCCACAACAACTAAACAAATTAGTGTCTTAAAAATGTTGTCCAAATCAAAATAAAGTGAATTTGTCCGTTTGACAATTCAGTCTATGGACCAAATTTCTAATATTAAAAAAAAGCACGATAAATCGGAGTTAGTCCAGCAGTGTATCAAGTCCGAAAACCCCTTGGATGAAATAGACTCGGTCTGTTCATGCTGCGGGTAGTACCGTATTTTCCGATGTGTTCACCGCACAATGGTCTAAGGCATGAGAATTTTCAACCCGGGTCGACTTCAGCCCGAGTCGAGTTCAACCCGGGTCGAGTTCAGCCCGGGTCGAGTTCAGCCCGGGTCGAGTTCATCCCGGGTTGAAAGTCTGTACGATAGACAAAATAGGTGAGCGTTTACATGAAGACAGTTGGCCCGGGTTAAATACTGATATGCCGCCAAAAGTCCACTTCTAGAGTCCTGTTTGGTCACGTGAATACTTTCGAGCGAAATTTGCATGTGCGGTGCTATTCAAGCCAGGCGCGAGATACGCACAGAAGTACGTTTGTAAGATTTTCTCACCCCGGGTTGATTTCAACCCCCCCCCCCCAGGGAGGGTTGAAATCAACCCGGGTCAAGCGCAATGTGTCATGTAAACGCGCCATTCATTTTGTGTACATGGCGGGTTGAAATCTGACCCGGGTTGAAACGCCTCATGTAAACACAGCCTAAGCCGCACCCCTCACCGTTTCGGGCTTGACATTCGTATTCTTTTGGACATTCGGAGTATACGCCACACATCCGTATTTGAATTGTTGGCCATCCAAACTGGATGGCTACTAGTAAGAAGTACATACAAGACGTATGCAAATGGTGAAAAAGGTTGAGAAGCACGACTGAAGTTCCACCAAAACGTTCTTGGTTTGTTCCTCACTGTGAGCTGACAACACAGAAGCACCGTACAACTGCGATGATGGATTTCTGTGCATGAAAAGTACACAAAAGTAGTCGAATTACACTAATGCTTGTTATGCTTATGTTAGGTACCGCCTCCCGTACCTTTTCTAGCTGGCCTGCATGCACTTACGTACTCACCTTTTGTCTCCTTTTGTTCCGTTGGCCTGGGTAGCTACTTGCGCGCCCATATTTGCCATAGCTACCCAGGCCCTTTATCTTGCCGTTCAGACTTGATCTCTCCCTCACTCTTTTCTCACTCGTCAATAATCACCATGTAGTCGTTTCGTTCGTCTTGGTCTCTTGTCTCGTCGTCTATAATAAATGTCGTTCCCACTAACTTGTTCCCGTTGTCAGTCGTCCTGTTTCGAACTCAACATTGGCGCCCGATTATTGATCGACCCACGACCCTGAGATCATCCCATGCCCAGCCGTCCTCAACCACCATTCGTCTCGTCTATGTCAACCTCGTCTCGTCCATGTCAGTCCCGTCTCTCCTACGCCAACCTCGTCTCGTCTCTATCAACCTCGTCTCTCCTACGCCAACCTTACCTCGTCTATTCTCGTTCAAGCCATGCAGGTCAGCTACCTTTCTCTCTTTCTTTTTTTTGTATGCTTCTTCGTCAAATTTATTTTCGTGAATTTTTTTGTAGTGTGTGCGCGCGCGCGCGTGTGTTCGTAAAACATAACCAAGTTAGGGGTCCGATCATGGTGAGCCACGCTCTAATTTTTGGATGTTTAGCAAAAGTGTAACTAGGCTGTATTAGCCGTGCAAAATACTAGTAATTCACGTTCCTCGTCAAACTCCAATAGTTATTACACACAATAAGTAGTACAGGAATGATGTGTACGAGTGCATTTTTAGTACACACTTTCGTGAGATCCATGCGCGCGTGCAGTATGTGTGTGTGTGTTTTCTCCTCCAGTTCATTTTTTAATCTTTTTCTCTCTTTTTTTTCTCTCCGCGAGGACGCGGGATTTTTTTTCATGGAGGGGTTGTATGTTAGGTACCGCCTCCCGTACCTTTTCTAGCTGGCCTGCATGCACTTACGTACTCACCTTTTGTCTCCTTTTGTTCCGTTGGCCTGGGTAGCTACTTGCGCGCCCATATTTGCCATAGCTACCCAGGCCCTTTATCTTGCCGTTCAGACTTGATCTCTCCCTCTCTCTTTTCTCACTCGTCAATAATCACCATGTAGTCGTTTCGTTCGTCTTGGTCTCTTGTCTCGTCGTCTATAATAAATGTCGTTCCCACTAACTTGTTCCCGTTGTCAGTCGTCCTGTTTCGAACTCAACACTTAGCACACCGTATCGCTGGCTGATTCATAGCCAGCATTCGGAGTCCAAGGTGCAGGGGTGATTTTGAGTTTTTTTAGGCATTTCAAAGTGCGGCTTATACCCTGGAAAGTCCTGTAATTGTATGTGTGAGGGGGGGGGGGGTGGGGGAGAGCGTGCGTGTGAACGTTCGTGTTTTTCGTGCATGCATGCATGTGTTTGTGTGTGCGTCTTTATGACAATGTCATTGTTTGTTTCTGTGTGTGTGTGTGTGTGTGTGTGTGTGTGTGTGTGTGTGTGTGTGTGTGTTTGTGTGTATGAATGTGTATGTGTCTGCAGCTGATTACATCGTGTTGCAGTTTGGCCGTATTGCTGAGCACCAGTTTACGTTGGATTTCTCCTATCCACTATGTCCATTGCAAGCCTTTGCCATTGCTCTCAGTGGAAGTTTCAAAAACTTCTCACAGTGAGGGGGCAGGGAGGAAGGAAGGCCGGCGTACTGGTCTGCGTCGTATGTTGCATGTATGCCTTTCTTGGTGTGGGAATGCGTGTGTGTGTGTGCGTGTGTGTGTGCGCATGTGTGCGTGCATGCGTGCATCTATGTGTGTGTGTGTGTGTGTGTGTGTGTGTGTGTGTGTGTGTGTGTGTGTGTGTGTGTGTGTGTGTGTGTGTATGCTTGCACTTGTAGTGCTCTGTTCAATACGTTTGGATGAACAGAATGCAGTGCAGAGTATGGCATTGATGAGTGATGCTATGACCCACCACTTGCTAACATTAGTAACAGCCTGTTGGAAAGGCATACACTCCTCTTCTGGTTTTTGAACAAAGTTGGATTTCCTTTTCTAGCACGAGATCAGCTACTGTTTTAATTCTGAGGGTGTTGAATCATAACGTACAGCACTTCTTCGGATAGCACAGCTGTTGCTTGTGCCGCAGATTTGGGGTTCATATCATTATTGGTAGAAGCTAGCTGCAGAGATGACTGTAATTCTGCCTTAGAAATGTGCAGATGGTTCGATATTATGCACTATATCTGGTGCCCCCCCCCCCTCTCTCTCTGTCTCTCTCTCTCTCTTCACTCTTTCTCCCCCCCCCCCCCCCCCCCAGGACTCACTCTTTCTCCCCCCACCCCTGGACTCACTCTTTCTCCCCCCCCCCCGGACTCTTTCTTCCCCCCCCCCCGGACTCTCTATTTCTCTCCTATTCCATTGACTCACCGAATAATCCGCTTTTCTACATTATTATCTTTTCTTGTTCTTGAGTTTAGGTGCTACATTGTATATTCTATCATGAATACCACCAGAGTGGCTGCTGGAAAGTCTTTAGGTTCTGTGTGTGTGTGAATGTTTTCTTATTGATTTATAATGATCTTTCTTTTAATTCTAAAAGCTTGCGTGCTTTCTCCTCGACTTCATTGAGATGTGATGTGATGTGTGCGTGTGTGTGTGTGTGTTCGTGTGTGTGTTTAATGAGCTGATGGTGTTCAGTTAGTCTGGAAATGAATAATCTCATTGTTTTCCATGCATGTATGGGTTGTGCACAGTCGCCACGCCAGGGAGAGGTTATGTGAACGACTTTATCGTGCGAATCGGCATATTCTCGTATGGGCATTGAGCGCTGTATAGACGAATTTTCTCATTGGCGTGAAGTATTGAATACATCGTTGCAGAAACAGGAAAGAAGTGACAAAAGAGCACAATCACATAGATTTGCTGCATCTTTGCCACTGTGTATATAGCATGTCAGCGGATGATGTACATGACTGATTGTACTCACATAACCTTGGCTTGGAGCAGGAGAGTGATATCATCATTTCAAAGGGGAATTTCCCTTTCTTTTCCCAACATGAAATCGTGTGCTCTACTAGCAGCTAGGCTAGGCCTTTCTGAGCAACGGCCAACAGGCCTGCAGGACGGACCGGTCGACTCATAGCAGGTTGATTTTTGTACTAGTAGAGTACTCCGCGAAAACCTCTTGGATCCGTATATGCATCAGTATTGCAATGTCATGTATTTCGTAAATGGAGAGAGAGAGAGCGAGTAGTTCGTCTTTGAGTACTCCAAATCGATTCGATTGTCCCTTTGGACGTTTCGGGAGAAGCGATTTTCCGAGTTTTGTATGTCGTTTAGATTGCACAGTGCAGTGCAGCGATATGGCCGGAGTTGATCGTGAACAGGGCGATGGTGATTGCCGGTGTATGTTGTGCAGTGTAGATCTACGAGCACAACCTGTAGCGATGTAGACAGAGAAAGAGTGAAATGAGCAAATGCACGGATTTCCGCAAGGGTGAAATGTCTACTGCACTGGTAGATCTGACGTGGAACACTGGACGTGGGAGTGTGAAGGCTGAGGATGTGAAAATAACCCAACGACTTTTTTGGTTACGTTCACCACGTTCACACTCTGACACTGTCACGTTCGTCGCCGGTGATTACGAAAGGAAGGTATTCGATCAAGGACATAGGTGTGGTCCTCGCCACTCAGTGGATGCAGTCAGTAATACACTAGTAGTAGCCATACTACTCGAAGCAAACCACAAACAAAGAAAACAGTGCAATAATGATCGTCGCTAGTCGCTCCGAGGCAGATCTACTAGGGAGTCGACTAAAACCGTGAACTGTTTCACGATTCTATGGTAGCCTAGGCTCTAGTCATGACTGTCGAAATATCACCCGTATTCCTGTGTTGCAGGTTCACATTATTAGGTGAGGGTGCAGTCGACACTGTGCTAGTTACATGAACAGCGATACGGCACCGTTACGTCGTCCACACGCACAGTCAGTTTACGATCATCAACCTGCACATGTCACATCTGTACAGTGCAGACTACAAAGTACAATGTAGCCTTGTAAGTAATAGTTGTAGGACTACAGCCAGGCACTGAGACAGTACTACTAGACCTAAAACTGTCAGTATTTTTCCGCTCGAGGCGAGCACCGATACCGCTAAAAGTGTTTCTGTGCTGTGTGCGGCGCTGAACCGCAGTGTGTTTGCAGGGACTACGTAGCTGTGTAGAAACCACTGGTGGAGTGGTGCACCAGTACGTGTTTGAGGAATAGTCTGAAAAAATGCGCTCTTGTTTTGTGATTTGGCTACGGCCATAGGGTGACTTTCATAACACCGTTATCATTAGTTCCTAGTGTTTGTTCAAGGACCACGGGTGGGGAAGAGTAGAGTCGCTACCGAGCCTAGCACAGGCTAGTGCGAGAAGACGTTTGTGCTTTCCTCGTCACTCGCTCGCACACGATATGGCCGAAGGAAAATGGCCTCCACTACCTCTTCAAAAGCCCAGAAAACTTGGCGAGCGGCCGAAAAAGGTTGCAGAAAAGCCGAAAGCGGATGAGACGGACGAATTGAACCTGGCACCGTAAGTACATGTCAGGGACTTCTCTAGGACTCCAGTACTGTAGTAGTGTAGTAGAACAATCAATGGCTGTCAATGGTTGTCAATGGTTGTCAATGGTTCGCAACTGTCAGAATGCATGATTATATCCTCAATGTCAAACAGTTCTGTCCGCAGATTGAGTATCCTCAATGTCATAGTATTTTGACATTGTATATTTCCGCTCAATGGAGAGGTTGCGCACAACGAAAATTCGTAGCACTGTAACGAAACCTTTTAGCGGAAAAAGCTAACCAATATTCATCAACCGGGAGGTTGCGCACAACGCGTGAACGCTTTCGTAGTACAGTTGAACATCGATTATCCGACCACCTCTGGGCAGACAACTGTCAGGCGGTGTTCAGATAAGGCAAATGTTCCGGATAAGAAAAAAACTGTCACTCACACACTTTCAGTGGTTATTACTAGCCGCACGAGCTTTTTACTTTTTACTTTTCAAAATTTTCGTATTTTTTGAATGGCTCACTACATGCACAGTGCGTACTCTACGGCACGTGCGCCCAAAAAAACTGTTACGGATAATCGAATGGTCGGATAGTCGATGTGCGGATAATCGATGTTCAACTGTACGTCGACGCGGCGCGCGCGCGGGTACGAAGAGTCAAGTCAAGGAGTTGTAAAATATCAGTATTTTAGTACTCCACGTACGTTACGACAATATTTCCGTAGATCTGCTCTGTTTCGATCGCGTTTGGACGGATCTTCGTAGCAACTTCAGGGTTCACAGTTGCGTAGAAAAACGTCGATTAGATGGGGGCGGCGCACGTGCTCCAAAATGCCAGCTTGACCAATCAGCAGTCAGCATTTCGTCGCATTTTTGCTCGAAGTAGGGGGTGTTTGAAGGAGTTAGCAGCACTTCAGCTAGGTTCTACGAGTCTGGGACGTGGCCCAGGCACAGAAGACAGGTGTTCCAAAAGATTTACCGAAACAAATTTTCATTACTCACACGGGTATGCCAGAGCATATGCGTAAACTTCGTGAGATATAGTACAGTATTGGAAAGGAGTATCCAAAAATGTCTCAGTAAATTTCTTTGCCAGGGTCTCCTGCAAAATTTAAGCCATAGATTGTCCAAATCGGCCAAGGGGAAGATGCTCTGTACTGATTTTAGTAACCCCGAGTCCCAGCGGCGCGCAACCGCTTGCGCGAAAATGTGCGAAGATCAAACAACAAGAAAAACGCATGCATGCAGCAGAACAGCAACGCGTGCCGTCGAAGAGAAAATCATTGTGCACAGACTGTTCAGTGTTCTCTCCTCAGTTCGCCCGCGACGTTGGTTGCTGTGCTTTCATTCTCGCTGGAGTTCTTGTGGCAGCGGATTTCGCCAACATGGAGGAACTGGTACCCTGGGAAACCTGGTCTTCAGTGGCCCTCGACTAACGCACGGTGGATTTGCTGGTCCCGTTCACCTCCATCAGCAGCTCCGTGTGGTATCATCATGTTCTCGGCGCTACTTGCCTGGCAAGCTCTGACTCGTTTGTTTGTCTTCTTACCTGTGGAACATCGCGATCGCTCATTGTAGAATCAGCTTTTGGTCGGACATGGCATGTTGCATTTACTGAGACTAGCACAGGTTGCGTTTCGCCTTCTCCTTCAAGGCACAGTGAAAGGTAATTCTTTCCCGAGGACAAGCACAACTACTGTAACTGTTCAATGTTGCGGTGCAATTCCCAGTGCAAATAACGAGAGAGCTTGGAAGCTCAGGGCCCTACGCTATGCTTTTTTGCCTTGATGACCTAGACAAAAAAAGCATAGGGATGTTATAAATTCTTTAAAAAATTCCTTTTTTTAAAAGACATAACCTGGGATTCGAACCCGCACTATCGCGCCCTGCATGCATCCCCCGATACACTTCGCATACATACTTATTCTTCCAAGTTGTTTCACATTGTGATCTTGCATTTGAAAGCCCTATTTGAATATGCATTGTGGCCAGCCGTCTTTGATGGCACGGTACGGTAGGGGATAGGTACGAGACAGGTACGATCGAGGGTAATACGACACCGTCTCCCGTACCATACCATACCATCAAACACAGCTGGCCACATACAGCTGCACGCAATATTCAAATAGGGCTTTCAAACGCAAGATAATAACGTAAAGCAACTTGGAAGAATGGGTATGAATGCGAAGTGTATGGGGGAATGCATGTAGGGCGATAGTGCGGGTTCGAATCCCAGGATATGCCTGAAAAAAAGGTAGACGAAAGAGGGATCTGACTCACAGAGATAATAACGAATAATCTTTACTTCAGGATGAGACACTAGTAAAGCAACTGAACTACACGAGAGGAATAACTGCAAGCTGTAACTGACTGAAACAACGAAAAGAACACAACTCGGTGTAGTCTCCAGTCCAAACAACAAGACGCCGACTCAACTAATTATGCACAGAAACTACAAGCCGCGAAGTCGGTTTCACGCGCGCGCGGGAAACGGCACATGAGACATGCATAACACAACACGATGCACTACTACTACTACATGCATCATGAATAGCATGAATAGCACAAAAGAACAGCCAGGAATAATTATGATTAGACTGGTCCACACAGGAACAATAAATGTATCACCTCTACGCGTGCACACAGCATAACTGACACCAAAGAAGGGCACGTTGATGCGGGCATGCATTGGAATTACCATGAACGTAATGACACCCAAAGGCTAGCGGCAGTGATTTGCCATAACACCATACTTAGACTACTGAAAGAGGTTCACCGTCTACTCATTCCACCCTCCTTGATACAACTACCGGTAAGTATCAACGTTGATACAACTAAAATGAACTATCAGAAAAGAAAACGAAACGTAACGAGCTATGAGCTAGCTGTACAGAAACATAAATGGCTGCAAAAACGGACGACTGATGCACAAGAGAGACACATCCAGCCGGTAAGCATGCTAGGGCGATTCAGAATCAGTCCTCACTATCATCAGGTCCAGCGACGCCCACCGTGACAACTGGGCACAGTCGCACCACAGGCCTGGTCACTGTCTTCCCGCCAACTAGCACTCTTGCCACACGCACGGTGCCGTCTTGACCTGGCATCACTTCCGTCACTCTTCCAAGGGGCCATTTACCCCGTGGCGTATCTGCCGTGATCACCAGGACGATATCTCCAACTGCTATGTTCCTTTCCTCGGCGGACCACTTAGCACGGCGATTCAGTCCGGGGACCCACTCTTTCATCCAACGGTGCCAGAAGTGTGTGACAAGTTCTTGCACTCTCCTCCATCTTTGTTGTAGGCGGTAATCGTCACTGCTTGTGCCGATGGAGAACTGCTCCACACGTCCAACCAAGAAGTGGTTCGGAGTCAAGGGCAAGTCGTCTCTGGCATCCACAGAAGGGATTGTTAGCGGTCTTGAGTTGAGGAGAGACTCGGTACTACAGAAAGCGGTCTGAAGCTCCTCATCGGTGATGCTGGCATCACTCAGAACTGCATGAATGGCCTTCTTGGCGGCTTTGACCATGGTCTCGTGAACGCCGCCGAAATGCGGGGCACCTGGAGGAATGAAGTGCCACCGTACACGTGGGAACTTCAACTGGAGCGCCGCCTGTTCTTGTTCTAGCTCTTTCAGCTCGCGTTGTCCTCCTACAAAGTTCGTCCCATTGTCCGACAGGACCTCTTCTGGCACGCCTCGGCGGTTGCTCATTCTCTCGAAGGCATTCAAGAAACTACTGGTGTCCAGGGAATAGGACAACTCCAAATGCACAGCACGGCACGTGAGACAAGTGAAGAGGCAGAGGTATCTCTTTGCCCGCCTCTGTCCTCGACCCTGAACTGTCGTAAATGGCCCGGCGTAGTCCACAGCAACCCGGCCGAAGGCACGACGCGGTGACTCTAACCGTATCTTCGGCAGAGGGGCCATGATTGGAGTGACAGGTTTGGCTTTCCTCTTTCTGCATTCAGTACACCTCTGCTCGCACTCACGAACTGCTTCTCGTCCCGCAATGATCCAGAAGCGTTGCATCAGCAGGGACCACGTGTGGTTGACTCCAGCAGCATGGTTCGCAGCCTCATGTTGGTCCTTGACAATCAGGTATGTAACCCAGTTGTGACGTGGTAGAACGATTGGATGCTTAGTTGCTTCGGGTAGGAATTCTGCATTCTGGGTCCGTCCTTCCACTCGCATGACTCCATCTTCATCTAGCCGAGGACAAAGACTAGCCAGTTTGCTGGTCGTTGGGATTGCCTTCCCCTTTCTCAGGAGAGCATACTCTGGGAAGCTCTCTTGTTGAGCTGTTCTGATGAAGGAAAGCTCCGCGTCTGTCACTTCCTCAGGGCTCAAGCTGCCGACTTGCCTCTCATCAACCGGGGTGCGGCAGTTGCTGACAAAGCGAAGCACCAAGGCTAGACGACGTACGGCGACTCTCCACGATGAGAAGTTCCTGGGTTCCAGCTTCCAATCTTTGCTCACAAACGTGAAGAGTGACACTCCTTCAACTGTGCTCATTGTGGCTTCCTTGCATGCGGACCTCACCTCGGGCACGACAGGACAAGTGAGTTTGCTGGGTGGTGGCGGCCACTGGGACTTGTCAAGGAGAAGATACTGCGGTCCATTCCACCATTGGGCCTCCTGTACAAGCTTGGCGGCACTGGACCCACGGGAAACCACATCTGCAGGATTGCACTCTGTCGGGACGTAGTGCCACTGACCTGGCTGACTTGAGGCTTGAATCTCTGCCACTCTGTTGGCAATGAATGGCTTGAACTGGCGACTTCGATTGCGCACCCACCACAAGACGTTCATGCTATCCGTCCACCAATGCCAACTGCTCTCGGGTATAGCCAGCACTTCACCCACTGACACAGCCAAATCTACTGCAACTACCGCCGCAGTCAGCTCCAAACGCGGGATGCTGGTGCTTTTTATCGGAGCTACCTTGCCTTTACTTGCCACCGGGCGACAGGTCACAGCCCCGGATTCGTAGCTGTGACGGAGGTAGGCGACTGCTCCAT